CAGCAGAGGGAACACTCTGCTTTGGTGATAAAAGTCTGGCAGAAATCTCCTTCTTTCAGGATGAGTTCGGCACAATGGGGAGGCAATGGGTACCTCATGGTGCAGGCAGAATCAGCTACCTTCCAGGCTGGCTGGGCTTTTCAGTTTCCATCAGTTTGGCCAGAGCTCCTTAAAATCAACGGCAGCTGGCTTCACTGTAAGAAAAGGGGTTGAATGAAAACCAAATAAAAATCTAAAACACTAAAAAAAGACATGGTAAGAAGGAAGCAAAGGACTCCCTGGGGCTGAGATAGGTAACTGGATCAGGGCCTGGGACTTCATGCTGAATAAGCAGTTTAAAAATAGTTGTTTACGAAAAAATGCCTTGAAGGGAAATTGGGCAAGCGGCTCCTTTTGGGAGCCTGTTAACCTCCTGTTTCACCTTCCCTTGGAGCCAAGGAGTTGGGAAGCTCTCTGGAGCAGCACCTTGGCCCGGATTGGGAGATGACAGGTAGGGTGGAGGCGCTGATCAGCTGGCTTCCTGAGCCCTGCTGCAGCTGAGAAGATGGATAGCTCACTTTGAGCTCTCGTGTCCTAACTTTTCTTGACATGATTGTACACTATGGATTATAGCCCCCTGGAACAGCACCCTGAACCCAGCAGCAGAGGCTGGAAGAGGAGGGTTTTGGTTTGTTTTATTTTTGCTTTTTAAAACTCACACACTTGGTTTGCATTTTGAGTTGCTTAAATTGGTCTGTTCTGACCTGTTTTGTTATGTCCTCTTTTATCTTAATGTTTTTTTAAATAAAAAAAAAAGAGAGAGAGATGGTTTTCTGACTCTGCTTTGCAGATGCATTGTGTCTTTGAGAAGGAGACACATGATTCCTAGCTCCCAGAGGGACTCTGATCAGGTACAGGCAGAACAGAAACCTCAGATAATTCCCCAGCGGGACCTTAGGGGACTTGCTAAAGAGGCAAGGCATCATGTGTTTTTTTTTTCACCCTGCCCCACTAGCATCATATTTATACAGCAGAGAGGCCCTGTAATTCCAAACCAAAATCCGTTTAAATGATCTTTTCATCATAGATTTATTACCTGAATGACTACTCTGTCCTGAGAAGATGGAGGTTCTAATAACAATCAACACAATGCCAACTCTGTCCTGCAGAAATCCAGCGACATGGCTCATTGCAACAGGAGGACTGTGGTGACAAGGCTGTGAGGAGTGCCAGCATGCTGCTCAGGAAGGATGGGAGCAGGGAAATGTATTCCTGCCTAAAAAATCGGGTGTCAGCAACCACACCCATATGAGAGCTTTGGATGGCTCAACAGTTAACCCCCTCTTTACTTACCGCTAGGGGCTCAGTTTACTGCATTGCTGACCAACAAAGGTACTTTTGAAAAACTGTGAGAAGCACTTAGGACCTTGGATTTGCTGGTAGCTCAGTGATAAGGAGCACAAAGAAGGATTTTGTTGTTTAGGATTTTATTCTGAGTGAGAGCAAAGCTGAAAAACTTCAGCAGGCTGATATCCTTGCGGGACAGTGGGGACCTAGTATATGTGCTCCTTTTTTTCAGATTATAAAATTGAGGGCTACAGTGAAAATGAATGGAAAAATCACTGCCAGGCCAAGGTCCTTCATTGTCATTTCACTCCCTTAAAGAATGAAAAGCATATTATCTAGAAAAGTACATTGAGATTAGGTAAAAGGTGAAATTTAAACAATAGTCTGGAAATAAATTGTTATTATAGTATCTATGTTGCATTAATTCTGCCTTCCACATTTCAAGAGCAGAGATCTGTCCTTCAACTTGACTTTTGCCCATGGGTCTAGAGAATGGAGTGGGACAGGAGACCAGGTGGGAAACCACAATTAAAATGTAGTAAAACATGCAACTGAGTGCCTAGTCCAGGCCTAGGACAGGGCAGATGCTCACTAAATGTGTGTTCCTTCCTTTCATGAAGGGATTACGACCCTCCTGAAATTGGCATGGCCTCAGCACAGTCATATGCTGAGGCACAATGGACAATTAGGGCGTTGCTCAGATATCCATAGATAATGACACATTTGACTTTGGATTGCTAGCTTTCTGGGTCACTTGCATGATTATGATTGTACAATCCAGACTGTAAAAAATCAAGGACACACATGAATTTTCTTTGTTCAGCATTCTTTTACTGCAGATCAAATAGCTTGACTAACTAGCTCTTTATGCCCATCCCCACCTGTGCTGTGTAGTTGGCATGGGTTTAAAATTTTGTTATAGTGGGGGAGTGTGAGGGTAAATAAAATTTATTATTTGGTGTTAAGTAGCAACTATGTGTGCACAGTGGGTACACCTGCTTTTCCCTTCTCTTTCTTCTTCTACTCTTCTATTCCTTCTCTTATATCTCCCTCTTTCATTGCCTGGTGACTCTGCAAAGCAGTTAGGGAAGCAAGCTCATGGCTGACAGGCAGCAATGGATGAACATCAGAAGACTCACCCAGTCTAGCCAGAGCCAGTCACCTTCTTCCCTCATCCTCCGCTTCCTCCTTCTTCTCCTCTTCCTCTTTTTCCTGATCTCTTGCTTCTCCTCCTTCTCCTCTTCACTTTTTTATAGCTGGAGAAACTGAGGGTTGAAGAAGACTATTAATTACCCAAGATCATTTTTCTAAAATACAGTAAAACTTGAATTTAAACCCAAATTTCTGCTTTTTAAATTTTTTTCCAACTTTGTGCTAAGGCTCTGAACATATGGGCTCTTGTGTTAGTGGTGCCCTCATATAGTATGTGAGTACAGCTAACAGAAAGAAAATAACCTGCCAAGGGTGAACAGAGAAAGAATAACTTTGCTTCACTCAAAAGAAAAATATCTAACATTTACATTTTGAGGAATATTTTTCAAAACACTTCATAAGAATTTTTCCTTTTAAAGAGACACTATGGTAACTACTACTAAGTCGGGTTATCTTGTGGTGAAGCATTAGGTTGCTGAAATTGTTATGCCTTGTCCTGTATTGTTACGTTGTTATGTTCTCTTTTATCTCAATCTCCCCTTTTTAAAAAGAAATTATTTATTTATTTTATTATTATATTATTTTTAATTAAGGGAAAAAATTAGCAGGATATATTATAGTAACTTTTTTGATTTCCTATTAACTGGATTTGAAGCCCTGTATTGCTCCCACCAACTTGTTTTGACTGATTTTACTCTGTTCTGTTCTGTTTGATAGTATCAAGTTTGAGGATATAAGCAACAACTTTGAAGGCAGTAAGATTCACTATGACGTCCATTCTGGTTTGACTATTACCTTCTTTTGAAGTCCTGTAATGTCTCCAATGTTTAGGTTTTATCGGTCTTGTTCTGTACTGTTTTGTTCAATTTTATTATACCTAATGATATAGGCAATTCTTTTTAAGGTAGCAAGAGGCATTATGGTAACCATTGTTGATTACCTTGTATTCTGTTTTTACATCATGTACTATGTCTATCCTTTGTTTTGACTGACTGCCTTCTTTTGTCATATTTGGTTTTATTCTCTTCCAAAAAAAGTAACAAGAACTATGGGAGTAATAAAACCTAAAATGTGTAAATGTTGTTGTAAAAAAGAGAGGGAAAAAAGTGCTCTAAAGGATACAACTGCAAGTGTGTTTAGGTGTGTTAAGATGGATGACCATATTACTAAGTTTTTGTTGGGTCATTGAACGCAACTGTTTGCAGTCTCACTGCTTGAATGTCCACTTTGTATGCTTTAATCCTGTAACTTGAACAACTATTTCTAAGATGACAATATGTAATCTATTAACTAGTGATTTCTTACTGTTTTTTTAAAATTCTGTATTACTTGTACCTGTTTACAGTTTTTTTCTCCTTTAAATAAAATTTAAAAAAAGAATTTTTCCTTTATAGCTAAGAAAATACTCAGTTAAATACTCATTAAACCAGTAAATGGCAAAACTGGAACCCAAGTCTGGAACTCTGGACTTTCAATTCTGTTCCATTACTCTAAATAATCTTTCCCACATACTTAGTCACATGGGCAGAGGAGAGACTGGCTGAGTTTGGATGTGGATGTGTTGTGGATTTGGTGGCTCTGGCTAGACTGGGTGAGTCTTCTGATGTTCATCCATTGCTGCCTGTCAGCCATGAGCTTGCTTCCCTAACTGCTTTGCAGAGTCACCAGGCAATACATAGATACTGAGATCTAAGTCAACCTAACCTTGGATCTTGGATCCAACCTAAACTTGGATCTTGCTGTTGTGTGAAGCCTTTGATTGCAGCCTTCATGGAGTTCCCTCAGTCCTACAGACCAAGAACAGAGTAACATTCCTTGCACTCCTCGTGTTGTGGGTTTTCATGTAGAAAGTAACAGAATTGATGGTTACAGAACAGGAGATGCTCCCCTATGCAAGGCCTGGTTTTTGTGTATTTCTGGCATAGCCTGGGAAGGAAAGAGCCAAGATATTTTGACAAATAGCAGCTCTGACAAATTTGTAGGCCAATTTCTCTCTGACAAGGTGCAGATTTTCCTGTATTACAGTCCTGCTCTGTAGCTTCTCTTCTCTTGTTGAAAGTTCTACCTGGGGCAGAGGAGGAGCAAGCAGACCCATGAAACTGGTCTTGAGAGAATCACACAGTCTCCAAACTGTCCTCCTTGTCCTCTTTGACCTGGGCCAGTAAACCTGCATAGGCCTGGATGACAGCCAGTCTCTCGTGGGTCGGTCCAAAACAGGGAGCAGCATTCTGCAGATGGTCTTTTTCTCAGGTTGAGAAATCAAATTTTAATCTCTTTTTCTGATGATTGTTCAAAAATCAAATTGCTTGACAGATGCACAGATAAACAGGAAAAGTTCGCAATCAAAGCAAGTTCTGAATGGAGCTGATCAGTCGATTTTTAATGGCTACTAGCTTAATAATCACTCACCAAAAATAGCTTCCAGGCAGACCAAACCCCTGCACACGTGGGCCCACACCCAGGTACACCAACACCTAGTTGAGAAGCATATAAGAGGACCCTTACCTGCTCCTGACAGCACAGTTTCAACTCCAGCTTTGGCTCTCATCAGGAACCTTTGACTTTCCTCACTGCGCAAAAGCATCATGAGTTGTCAGATCTCTTACAGATCTCGAGGAGGAGGAGGAAGAAAAGGAGGAGGAGGATTCCAAGGCTTCAGCAGTGGCTCAGCCATAGTCTCTGGCAGCCGGAGATCGACCTCTGGCTTTTCCTGCTTGAGCCGCCATGGTGGTGGCGGAGGAGGCTACGGTGCAGGCGGCTTTGGCAGTCAGAGTGTTGTTGGCCTTGGAGGGAGCAAGAGCATCTCCAGTAGTGTGGCTGGAGGAGGTGGAAGCTTTGGTTCCACCAGTGGATTTGGTGGCAGAGGAGGTGGCTTTGGAGGCTTTGGAGGTGGCAGTGGCTTTGGAGGCGGTGGTTTTGGTGGAGGCAGCTTTGGAGGTGGCAGAGGACCTGGAGGTTTTGGGGGTCCTGGTGGCTTCGGGCCTGGAGGATTCCCTGGTGGAGGTATCCATGAAGTCTCTATCAACCAGAGCCTCCTGCAACCCCTTGATATCAAAGTAGACCCAGAGGTCCAGAATAGAAAGTCTCAGGAGCGGGAACAGATCAAATCTCTCAACAACAAATTTGCCTCCTTCATTGACAAGGTGAGCTAGAAGTGGCTCCTTCTGATGCTCATGGCTGTGGTTTCCAGTGCTTGTTGAAAGGAAACCATACAGATTAGTGCCTTTTAGGGGGGAATTGGTGTGGCCAGCACAGCCTGGGTTATTTTCAAATCTCAAACATGAAAAATACTGGGTATGCAGGATGTTTCCGAAACAGATTGCAGCTAGGAATCACTTATCTCTTTGGTTTTATTTTTCAGTCCAAATATTTATAGAAAATTCTCACAATCATAGAAGAATTGGTATAGGCAAGCAAAGAACTGAGGTCAGACTGTGCAGTAGCAGGTTGTTTTGTTTGTTTGTTTGCTTTTTTGTCTTTTTATTTTTTGGGAGAGGGTCTTGCAATGCAGTTCTGGCTGGCCTTGAATTCACTTTGTAGCTCAGGCTGGTCTCAAACTTGCAATGATTCTCTTGCCTCAGTCTCCGGAGTGCTTGGGTTATAGGCATGTGCCACCACATTCGGCTATGGTAGATTTTGAAAGGGATTAGTGAGATATTTTTTTCTTCAGTAGTTCTTCCCTTCTTCAGAAAGTTATTACTCTATTAAATTTTGTGAAGAGGAACTTGAAATATCTGCTTGAAATTCCAGCCTTCAAGAGAAACATTCTGTGTTGTGAACCATCAAGTCTTTAATGGTGTCACTTTGGGTGTTACTGGGCTTTCTCCTATTTCAAGGCAGAGAAACCTGTCTTAGTTGAATTACACAGGAATTTACAGGTCTCTTAAAAACCAGCCAAGGAGCCCTGCCCTCTAGGACTTGTACTCAGCGCTCTGGGTTGCAGTTCCAGCAGATACCTGCTTTTAGTTTGCTCCAGAATTTATGGGACATTGGCAAGGGATGCGGCTAGGATCAGGGAGTGAAATGGCCTGGAGTCTTGGGAGCAGCTGTAAGCAAGGCAGTGGGTGTGAAGTAGGAGAGATCTGTGCATGGAGAGAGCCAGTGGTAGCATTAGTAGTCCCTGGAACTTTCTAAGTGTGAAGGCAATGAGCTCAGAAGCTCTTCCAGGCACTCTGCAGCCTCCCCTCTGGCTGATGTGGATGAAGCTTTGTGACTGCCTTCTGGACTCAAGCAGCACCAGAGCTGCCCAATGCAGGTGTGTCTTGCTAGTGTGAAAGGTGGCCTAGGTCTTATGTGCTCTTCCTCCTCTCATGGCAGGTGCGCTTCCTGGAGCAGCAGAACCAAGTACTGGAGACCAAATGGGACATGCTACAACAGATTGATGTGAAATCCCGCACCATCAACCTGGAGCCCATGTTCCAGGCCTTCATCAGCCAGCTCCACAAACAGTTGGATGGGCTCTCTGTAGAAAAAAACTCACAGGAGTCAGAGCTGAACCATATGCAGGATCTTGTGGAAGAGTACAAGAAAAAGTAGGTGCCGAATAAACCCGGAGTGGAGATAGATACTGAATAGAACCATCCAATTACTTATCTGCCATTTGCATTTGTGTGGTAAAGGAGTTTGGTGATTGCATACTTTTTGATTATTTATGAGGAGGACATAAAGTTTCAGAGATTCTTTTTTTTTTTTACATGTTTGAGAGTTCATTTACAGAAATTCATCCTCATTTTGGATATGAATTTTGGCATTTAAAAAGTGTTTAATATGCCTGGAGAATGGGGCATTTGGGGTGAATCCAGTAGAAAAAAGAAAAGAAAAAGAAAAACCAAACCCAGAACTAATCTAACTGTTGTATCATTTTGGTCCCAACAGGTATGAGGACGAAACCAACAAGCGCACAAGTGCTGAGAATGATTTTGTAACACTTAAAAAGGTGAGCAAGGGCATGCCATGGCCGGGATGGGAATCTGGGTGTATCACATCACATTGTGTCCAGACAGACACACTAGAAAACCATGGTAAGTACACATAGCAGCAGCCAAAGAGAGGGGTGAGATATGTCTGTCTCTGGTTCTCTTATGGGAAGAGAGTCTCTGCAGTTCAATCTTCTGAAGATGATCTTCCAAGATGTTCTGCATATTGGGCAGAGCACTACTATCACCCATTTAGAGCCTATGTTGGATCATGAGAACATAGAAGGCACTGGATTCTTCTTCTAAAGGGCTGGGGAGGAATGGGACTTTCCTGGGAATGCCTGCTTATCATTACTTTTGGTTTTGCTGACATATGTTTGAGCTGAAGGTGTGAAAGCATGGCTCCTCAGCTTGGTTCCTACAAAGGATTGGCGTATAATCCAAGAACACTCAGGAAAGGCGGGGTAACAGACATGATAGGAGGTTTGAGGACTGTGGAAGGGAGGAGAGGCCATTGTGCCCATTGAGGGAACACACTATGTCTCAAACAGGAGGAAAAGACTGGTTAGAAAAGCTTAGTCCCATGCAAGTGCTTTTGGTCATGGGTGGAGCATGAGCAGTGCATATGGGCAGGGTTGAATGCAGACTGCATGCCAGATGAGGGCCCCTCAAGATGTGGCTCCTTCGGAGGTACCTGGTATATTGGAGAGCAGCTAAGGGGCACTGGGTGGGGGGGAACAGCAGAGAAGCTGGGGCCCTTATGAGGAACCAGGCAAGATAAGGGGCATGTGTTTCACCAGAGGCCTGTGTCCTTCTGTGCAGGATGTAGACAATGGCTACATGAACAAGGTGGATCTACAGGCCAACGTAGACATACTGACCCAGCAGATTGACTTCCTGAGAACGATCTATGAGTTGGTAAGGAGATTTTTCCTGGACAGACCTATACTTCCACATTTCCCATCAAATCCTACCCACTTGGTAAAAAAGTGGCAGAAATGGGGTTTATGGACAGGATCCTTTTAGCTCACTGTGGGGAGGTGTATAGCACAGGCATTGGGGGAGAGGAAGTGTTCTCCTTTGATGTTACAGGAAGGGAGATTCAGGAAACATCAAGTCAACTTCCCATCCCTCCATCTCCTAAAGGTCCACCCTTCTTAAGAAGGGGCCTGTTCTATGCTTCATGTGCTACACAGATCAAAATGCGCTATGCCCCCACCTCACTGAACTAAAGACATACTATCATTTCTGAAACAGAATGTAAAATTTAAGGGTTTAAATGGAGCATGGACTAGCTTTCTGGGGGTGCTCACTGGTATAAGTGGTGAAAATAGCTAAGCAGTAGGTCAGAAATATAGACACCCCTTCTCCCCCCACACACACAATTCCAGGATGACCTTGGGAGAGGCCATGGAATAATGGTGATGCCACTATTCATACCAGCTAGGAAATGCTTAGTCTGAGAGTCTGTGTTTCACTAACACAGGGTGGGGAGGTCTTCTCACTGGTGTAGGCAGAAAGTCATGGCTAGACCTCATTATGTGTTGCAGGAGATGTCCCAGACACGAGAGACTGTCACTGAAACCAACGTTACCTTGTCCATGGACAACAATCGCAGCCTGGACCTGCAAGGCATTATCGCTGAGGTTAAGGCCCAATACGAAGATATTGCACAGAGGAGCAAGACTGAGGCTGAGAACCTGTACCACAGCAAGGCAAGTACAAAAGAGACAAGGGCAGCCCATTCCTCACAACAAGCCAGGCTTCATCCCCAGTCAGGATGTATACAGTAAGATTGTTAGTGTGTTTTACCAATGAAGTTGGGCATCATACTCAAGAGATTATTAAGAATGGCACCAAGTTCTTGGGAGAAGACATGAGATCATTTCCAACCTCCCATGAACATGACCACCACTTTCAGCCAGGTGCCAGCCTTTCCTTAGCTGAAGCCAAGCTTCTCCCAGGTTGGAGTCCCCTGTGACCTACCCTCTTCTTCCCCCATCAGTATGAGGAGCTGCAGATCACTGCAGGAAAACACGGAGACAGCTTGAAAGAGCTCAAGATGGAGATCAGTGAGCTGAACCGCATGATCCAGAGACTTCAAGGGGAGATCTCACATGTGAAGAAGCAGGTGAGGCCTGGTTTGTACAATAGTCCAGATCTGCTGCTTGTATAGGGGTTGGAATGGTTGTATCCCTGAGTGGTTATGTGTGTGGATATGAGAAACTGAGAAGTTCTAGTTTTTATTAATAATAAGATCCTGCAGCTAAACATAATTTAAGGCTAAAATAATGTTTAGAGTAGTCTAAGGAACATTCTAATAAAAAGATCAGCAAGAGGAAAGAATCATGATCACTTTTAGGTTGTTTACACTTAAGAGGGCAGGAGCAAATAAAACACAGGTAGGTTTGACTTGCTGAGGACTGAAGACGTAGTTTCCTGTTTGTGGGCAGCACAAGCTCTGAACAGCATCCAACTGGGTTTGTGGAAGAGTGTTTTATGGAGTTGGTCTGGGGCTGACCCTTAGTCTTGGAACAGAAAATGAAGGGCAGAGTGAATTCCAGAAGCAGGAGAATTTTTGAAATGCAGCCTGCTTTGAATGTCTTCATTGCATCTACAAAGCAGGATAACATTCCCGACTTTGTGCTATGAGGGTCAAGGCCATCCTTGGGAGCACCAATGCATCCAGGCAAAGGTTAGGGGTGAGACTCCAAAGATAGAAGCAAGTTTTAGCATAGTTGTCTGAAACACCCATTAACTCCAAGAATGTCAAGGATCTCTGGGACCAATGATTCTGCCCTCCCATGCTGAATATTTCTGCTCTTTTCTCCATTGCCAGGCAGACTCCACTGTCTGTACAGTACGAAATCTTTCCTCCTTTCTTCTTCTTTCTCATACAGTGTAAAACTGTACAAGAGTCCATTGCTGATGCTGAGCAGCGTGGAGAGAATGCCATCAAAGATGCCCAGAACAAACTCACAGACCTAGAGGATGCCCTGCAGCAGGCTCGGGAGAACCTGGCCCGGCTGTTGCGTGACTATCAGGAGCTGATGAATGCCAAGCTGGCCCTGGACATCGAGATTGCCACCTATCGCAAGCTACTGGAAGAAGAGGAGTGCAGGTGAGGGGCGCTGGGAGGGGAGATGGTGCCCAGGCCTATTCTCTACTTTCTCCTGGAATTAGGGCTGGAGTAAGGGCAAGCAGAGCAGAGGGTGGAGCCAGTAGACACTCACGATGTTCTCCGCAGAGCAATTCAGGACACAGAACATTAGTGTAGAGTTGTGCGTCTATCAGTGTGGAATAACTAACAAGGCCTTTTGAAACCAAGTGATTATACATACTGCTCTTTTCTGAGAGAAAAAGAAAAATCATGTGTAAATGGAATGTTTCTGGACAATTCTAAATGTGGCCTCTTCTGCCTTCATAATGTGATCCGGAACAGATGGTGGTGTTAGAATGTACTGAGTGTCTGGGACATGCTAATCTCAGTAGGTGCAGACATGATTTTGTGCAGGTTTCAAGAGTGGCAATCAATCAATTGCAAACCTTCAGAGAATGGTCCATATCTCTCCCTGTAACCTAAAAACTTTGTTGGTGCTATCAGCACCCCTCATGACTTAATGTGGCTGAAGCAATTGGAAGGGGAAGAGTCACCCTGGACCATCCTCAAACCAGGCTCTGTGCCTGGCTGAGAGGGATGCCCCATGTGCCAGCTTGTAACAGGGAAGAGGAAAGGCTCCAAGGGAGAAAAGGAGGGGGAAGGAGAGAGGAACAGGCAGGCTGTACAGAGTTGTAATTCTTTCTGAATTGAATGTTCACAGGGAAACCTCATTTAAAAATTTTAGAGAAAGCATGGATTCTGAATAACAGATTCCTAAAATAGATTTAAAGAGATGCCTTTGTACAGTCAGAAGTGAATTTCCCGTTCAGTCACTCTGGAACAATGTTCACTTTAATCTGAGCAAAAGTTTGAGGTGGATTGAGATGTCAGACTGTGCATGTGAGTGTGGGGTCTGTCACAATCTTTGGCATCAGATAGCATAGAAGATGAGATGTATAAGCGTATGGAGATTGAGAACACTGGCTAATCTGCACACTGGGAGGTGGAAATAGTAAAATATGATGCATGCAAAGTCTACCTGTCCTGCCACAAGTTCTTTTCTTTCTCTCTCTAACAGGATGTCTGGAGAATTCAGTGACAATGTGACTGTGTGTAAGTAGTGGAGTGTGGTCCTATGGAGTGTGGTGGTGTGTGGGTAGAGGTGGACATAGCAGTCCCAACACTATCTCTCCTGCAGCCGTGACAAGCAGCACCATCTCTTCAAATACATCATCCACAAGTGGCTTTGGAGGCCAAGGTTCTGGAGGCAGAGGATCCAGTCATGGAGGAGGAGGAGGAGGATACAGCTCTGGAAGTAGCAGTTATGGTTCTGGAGGCAGAAGATCAGGCTCCAAAAGTGGTGGAGGAGGCTCTGGTTCTGGCAGTTCCATAGGAGGCTCCAGTTTAGGAGGAGGATATGGCTCTGGCAGTGGTTCTGGAGGTGGTAGAGGGGGTTCAGGAGGTGGATATGGCTCTAGTGGTGGCTCTAAAGGAGGATATAGCTCTGGAGGAGGGGTCAGCTCTGGAGGAGGATTCAGCTCTAGTGGTGGTTCCAGAGGAGGCTCTAGCTCTGGAGGGGGAGTTTCTAGCTCTGCAAAGGGGAGTTCTGGCTCAGGAAAAGGTCACGGTTCTGGTGTGACCTTCTCTTTTAGATAAAGATGAGGGTCCTCTCTTGGCTCTTCCACTCTAGAATGTGGAAGCCTGTTTTTGTTCCTCTAACTGAGAACATGACAAATTTTTCATCCACCTCTGATGGCACTGAGGGGGAAATGGATGCTCATATACAGTTTTTGAAAGGTCTTCCTTCCAAACCAACTACTACAGTTAGGGACACCAACACCCATTGTTTTCTGCAGGAAGAATCTGCATTCCAAGTTTGTCTTCCAGCCATGCCCCACTCCTGGTTCCTCTGCCTTCTTGCTTTTCCCACTTGAGGGTCCTTTTCCAGAAGGATATTCTATTGAGGACCCCAGGGCAACCCACTGATGTCATCTCAAAGCCCATATCGCTCTCATGGAGGTGCCCCAGAAAAGGGTGCTTCTGTGTACATAGTCCCCTCTTGTTGATTCTGCTTTCTGAGTGCTGTGGTCTGGGTGTCTGCACAATAAACTTTATTTGCAACTCATGTCATGCGAGTTTGTTTTATGCCATGTTGTGGTGGAGGTGAGTAGCGACAGAAGGAAGAGATTTGGACATGATGAAAAGAGGATCTCTATGATGAGGGCAGGCCTCTTGAGGGAGTGTGGCACCCAGGAGCCCAGGATGTTTTCCTCTAGAAGGAAGTGGGTGAAGCTGGTCCTGGAGTCTGAGCCAGATGTGATGTTCTCAGAAAATATTGACCAGGCAATGGACATAGGAATTTAAGGAAAAATTTTCTTCTAAAAAGAAGCATTGCTTTTGAGAACATTTCTCCATCAATTATACCCTTCAAGATTTGCTCTATAGTCACTTCTTTTCAGGGCAAACCAGCTGAGCCACTGAGTACCCACCCAGGCTTCTGTAAGCTCTAAACTTCCTAGGTAGAGTTCTTTCAGCCCAACATAAATCAAAGGCTGTCTAGATTCCCCAAAATCCTTCATTATTACAGGCTTGTACCTCCTGAATGCTCTTGGTGCTTCTGAATGGATTTCTTGGGAAGTGTGTGGAGGATTTGACACAGTCTCCATTAGTAGACTTCTATTTTCACAGCAGAGGAATCTCATCACACTCAGCAAAAAAAAAAAAAAAAAAAAAAATCTTTCTTGCCTAATCTAGGCCTCAAGGGAGTCCTCAAACATCTCACTTAGAGTGGACTTCCCCTATGGGTGTGCTTCTTTCAGAGTCTGGCCTGATGAGCATTTAGGAAGAGACATGGCAACTCTAGGATGCACGTGGCAAGAAAACTCCAAATTGTTTTCATTTTGGCTCAGTAATAGTCTGATGGATCATGACTGAGGCAAGAGATTGTCCTCATGACATAGGGACACATGACATAGTATCCTTAAGGGGGCTTTGGGCACACATAGGGACAGATGAGAAACTTGCAAACAGCTCTGCCTACAAGACAGAATATAATTAAAAACTAGTCTGCACTAAAATCATTGAGGCATTTATCAATAATGCAGATTGTTGGTTCCACTCTCCTTCCCCAATTTCTACCACAGAGGATTGGAATAGAGACTGGCAAGCAGCATTATAATAATCTCCTAGACACTTCTAAGGCTGGTGATAAAGAGCCACATTTTGGAAAGTACTGATACAGAGGTTGTAAGAACAGGATCTGGTGGGTTCCATTCCTGGCACCTTGAAATTTAGTAGGCACTCAATGAAAAATTGATGATCAGATAAGACTTGGAGCAAGTTAATTTATCACCAGCCTTGATTTCCCATTTGTAAAACAGCACTGACCATATCTTTTCATAGAGCTGTTGGAAATATGTGACATAATATAGGATAAATGTTTATTCTGCAAGACCTATTCCTTTGCAAGCATGCATTCATTATTACAACATTCTTATGTACTTATCTTTACTACTGTGGCATTTATTGTTATTATAAGTTATAGGGAATATTATGAGACTGAGGAGGTTTGTGAATGAGATGGTTTCACACTCAGGCATTGAAGGATGTCTGGAGTTAAATAAGAAATAATAATGATATGATATAAACTTTTCCAGAAGATCAAAGAAAGAACATTTTTCACCTTATTTTATAAGGCCAACATTACCTTGGTTCTAAAAGAATACAAAGATGTTACAAATAAGCTAAAGATCTATATCCCTCAAGAACACAGATTTGAAAATTCTCAACAAGGTCTGAGTAAATGAAATGCTGAAATCTGTAAAAATTACAGCACAACATTGCTGTGGGGTTTGTCTCAGAAAGGAAATGTTCAACATTTCGGAATCAATTACTCTATTCACCACATTTATACATAGGAGTGTAAAGCAAACATGACCTTCTGAATAGTTGCAAAAACATTTGACAAAATTCAACACACATTTATTGTGAGAGCAAACAAATCAAAAAACAACTCTGAGCAAACAAGGAGTTGAAGGAAGTTCCTGGGCAATTCTCTATCAGACTTGGTATTTCTGGAATCCACAGCAGACTGTCTTGGGACATTTGCTGTCAGACTGGACTGCTAAACTTCCAGAATCATATAAGTCAGTTCGGTAAAATAAGTCTTTTTCTTTACCTTCACCCAGTACAGGGATGGCTGGCCTGATCTTGGCTGGAGAAAGGTTGGCTGGAGAGGTGAGTGGGTAGAGGAGCTTAGAGAATTATGAGAGGTAGTACAAGTCTTGGAGCAATATCACGGAGTACTGGGCTGGGCATGGACAGGGTACAGTGAGTAGCCACTCCAGCTACTCTCGGCAAGATCTGGTACAATTCCCGGAAACAGACTAAACTGTGAATCAGGGATTAGACCTAGGGAATACTCTCTTCTGAACTCGTCAGACTTTGTTTATTATTTGGATTATTTCTGTGCCAACAGGCCATCTGGAGAAGTCACTGATTATGTGAACAATATAAATAGTCAGGGCATCTCCTTTGCTATGAGTCCAGTGTCACCCCACTTATTTAACTGAAAGAGTGAAGAGGAACCTTCAGCTTGGAGGCTTGGGACCCTGAACTCATCTGCAGGTACTGGCTGTGTGGCCTTGATCAAATCACTTCTTGTCTCATGGACCTGTGGAGTGGGTAGGAAAAAGGAGCTTCAATGGTCCTGCCTGCATAGGTTCTCATGCTTGCCTCCAGGTGGAGGAAGTGAAGACCCTGTCTTCAGGACCTTCCATTTGGTGTTAGAAGATGGCCGACGTGGATAGAAGGTATGGGAGATCCTGGCACTGATAGGTATTGTTCCTTAATGTTTCAGGAAGATGCTCCTCAGAGCTGTGTATGAGATGGATATTCAGTGACATGCAGTGGCATGAAGGATTGCTGATTTTTAGAGCTGACTAGAGCCTACCTCTGTCCCCTGCAACATTGGTATCAAGCACACATTTGGCTTCTGGTGTATCCTCATCTCTGGGAGCAGGGTCTCTTCAAGAGGAGGCTCCTGTGCAGCATCTGGAACTGTGTGCAGGACAGCAGGGTACTCAGGAGCCACTGAAAACTCCTGAACATCCAGATCTCAAGCTGGCGATTCTGCAGACACTGGTTCTGGCATGGGCAGTGAGGAATACAGGTCAGTGAGAAGCTTAGGGCCCAAAAGCTTGTAGGTCTCCCTCCAGAAGCAATGGGCAGTTCTTAGGCCTGATCTTTCATGGTGTCAAAATAACAAGCATCCCATAGTGTTCATGTCCGCTCTGGCAACTGCTTGGTACAGCAGTATTAAGGGCATACCCTAATCTTAGTACAGAGATAAAAATGAGGATTGGCAAGGTACTCATTCAAGCACACAGCTAGTGAAATAATTATATTTCAGTGGAGAAAATTATATACTATGGGTGTATCTGGAATTTGGGAGTTGTGAAAGATTTGGGTCATTCTTTGACAATGTCAAAGGTCTAATGAATTGAAGTATTTTCTAGAATTCTGAGCTGGGTTTTGGTCTTCTTAGCTCAAAGTCCCAGAACCTAACACAGTCCCAGGATAGGGTTATTATTCCATAGTTTATTAAGTGAGTAGATGAAGGAGGGCCTGCAAGGACCTGAGTAGAAATGAATAAGGACTGAATGGCTACAAATGTGTATTGAGAGGCCTCAAGACCAAGGTCTGTGATTTTTGGCTGTTTCTGTGTTCTAGGATTCCTACAAAGAAATGGCTCACTAAATGTTTGCTAAAGCATTGACTCCTCAACTCCCTGAGCTTGTTTCCCATTTGTGAAATGTAGGTGGCCACAACTCTTCATCAGGCAGGCTAAATGGACTGGAGTTGCGTACAAGGTGCTCTTTTGATACCATAAAGCGTTATGCCAGTGTTAGCCATTGTGAATGGTGGCAGTGACCATTATTTCAAGTTCAAGAATAGGTGTGTAGATAAAGGAAATCAGGCATCCTGCCTGGCACAGGAGACCTAGGGTGAGGTGGTATGGATTAGAAGGAGGCAGCCAGTGGGCTGGGCCTGGGTTCCTGGTGGGTTTCACGCCCATGGCCTTTGGGCATCCATGAGAACTGTCTCCAGGAGCCCTGGGAAGCTTGGCTACAGGACTCTCTTCCTCACCACATTAAAGCAGCTGGCAGGGTCCCTAAAGTAGCCTATCTGATGTCGGCACAGGCATGAGATTTCTCACAGATTATGTCGTCAATTAAAGGTCTCTTCTTGGTACCAGGCAAATCTCAGCTCCCACAACACCGTGGGGAAGGATAGGCAAAGCTGAGACAACTTCCCCAGGCAAGATCTTTCTAGGGATAATTTGGCCAGGCTAAATACCGCATGTTAATTAGGTAAGATTCAATTATACTAGCAAGGTTTGCAAGCCTAGAACTTCCATGGTTTTTAAGTTATTTACCTAGTGTCTCTGGTTTTGCTGGGAGAAAAATCATTTCTTGGCCCCAGGTGAACTAAACCCATAAATTAGGGCTGTGGCTCTCTCCTGAGCCTTATAAAGGAGGAGGCCAAGATCAGATCTGGTGAACTGCATCACAGCTAAGGATTAGCATCCTCTCCCAGCTCTCCGGTCTCTCCACCATGAGCCGCCAATTTACCTGCAAGCAAGGAGCTGTCACCAGGGCGGGCTTCAGTGGCTGTTCTGCAGTGCTCTCTGGGGGCAGCTCATCCTCCTATCGTGCAGGAGCCAAAGGGCTTAGTGGGGGCTTCAGCAGTCGGAGTCTGTACAGCCTGGGGGGCACCCGGAGCGTCCCCTTCAATGTGGCCTGTGGCCCTGGGCGGGCAGGGGGCTATGGGTTTGGCCGGGGCTGGGCCAGTGGCTTTGCTGGCAGCATGCTTGGCAACGTGAATCTAGGTCCCTCATCTCCATCCATGTACCCACCTGGGGGCATCCACCAGGTCACTGTCAACAAGAGCCTCCTGGCTCCCCTCAACGTAGAGCTGGACCCAGAGATCCAGAAGGTGCGCGCCCAGGAGCGGGAGCAGATTAAGGTGCTGAACAACAAGTTCGCCTCTTTCATCGATAAGGTGGGACTTTATGGAGAAAGCTGAACGCAGTGCCTCCATCTTTCCTCTGCTTTTCCTGCCCCTCTGGGCCAGCCTTCCCAGGATGCAGACACAGCCTACGACAGAGCAGAGAGGGATGGACCATGACTTGGGCATCAAAGCTGAGGGATAGGGACCAAAAGGTTGAGAGGAACTAGAACACTTCTCTTGGGAAGGTGTCTGGGAGGCAGAAGTGGCCTCCGGAAGGAGAAGTGGGAGGTGGCCATCTGTGAGACTCAGAGGCCAGGCAGAGGAGAGGCCAGTGATAGCCTGAGAGCCCTGCACTGCCTTCCAGGGGACCCTGGCCAGTGTAGAACTGGGTGGAATGAAAGACTCAGTATATAACACATCTGGCCTATGAGGTGAGGTAAACGTGATCACAGGCACCAGGGACGTGATTCTCAAAAGTGGTCCCTGAGCCAGAAGCATTTGTTTGTTAGAAACACACACTTTCAGACCCATCTCAGATCAAAAATATTCATGTGGGACCCAATAATCCACATTTATAGAAGTCTCCTAAGTAATTGTGATGTACTCAGAGGTCTCAAAGGTAAGAGGCTCTGGGAATAGGTATTTCCTGATCTTAGAGAACAGGGAAGCTCATGGGGGTGAGGAGGGGGAATAGTGAAGTAGGGTGGTAAAGTCTGAATGGGAGTTTTCTAGGTGGAGATAGGCAAAGATAGTCCAGAGAGAGCATGTTCAGGATGATGCCTGGGAAAGGAAGCTCCTCAGTTGGTGAGTGTTGATTGTACAGTAGTGGAGGGGAGAAGGCACATTTGTCATATGGTGAAGAGCACAGTAGGAAATATGGACTTGACCCTGTGGGTGATATGGAGCTACTAGAGCTACTAGAGGACTGTAAGTAAAGGAATGACAAGATATTCTTAGATTGTGACTGGAGAATGCTTGTTTTCTCTCTGAAGAAATACTTTGGCCAAGAATAGAGATCCAGGAATGAAAGCCACAGAGAAGGACTCAGGACCTCAGATGGGCACAGTGTCTGCCTCTGGCCACGTTGAGAGAGGCCATGAAAAAGGAGACACAGAAGGGGCAGGGCATAGGCCCAGCCACTAAGCCCCAAGCAGAGACTAGGATGTGCTGACTCAATATCTAAGGACAGGGTTTAAGAAGGCAGCCTTAGATGAAGGTAAACATGGGTCCAGGAAGATGTAGTCAGGTGCAGAGGAGATGGAAGCTTGAGATCTCAACTAATGGAGAGGGAAAGGAGATAGTAGGGTCCTTCCTGATCTTAGGGGCTATCCCACGGTAAAGGCCTCTGTCAGACTCAGGATATTTGGCTTGGAGGGACTTGAATAGCATTTTTTAGGGCTCATCTTTTAAGCTACTAGAGCATACGACAACACTGCTCCTGCCCAGGGAAGGAACACCCAAGTTGATTGTCTGCAGACTGGGATCCAGGTGGCTATTGGTTTGGGTTCCAGGTGCGCTTCCTGGAGCAGCAGAACCAGGTACTGCAGACCAAGTGGGAGCTATTGCAGCAGCTGGACCTGAACAACTGCAGGAAGAACCTGGAGTCCATTTATGAAGGCCACATCAGCAGCCTGCGGAAGCAGCTGGAGACGCTGTCTGGGGACAGGGTGAGGATGGAATCAGAGCTGAGGACCATGAGGGACATAGTGGAGGACTACAAGAAGAGGTGAGCAAGGACACCTTCTGGGGCTGTTTTCTCAGCAGGCACTGGGACATCTGCCTATGGGCACAGCGGAGCTAATGGTCACAGCAACTCATTTGAGTTTATTTGCTCAGGCAAGATGGGGAACCAGGTTGAGTAGGCAGCAGATAGTCAATACCTTGTGCAGTGCCAGGGATGTCTCCTCCTTGGCAAGTTCCTTTTGCTGCTCACTTGAGGGTCCCCATGTGTGTGTGACAACCACTGGGTTCCTATAGTCACGCAGTGTGCTGGGTTCCAAGGAAACTCCTTTCAGGAAGGAGGTGGACTCCCGCTGAGTTACCCTTCTCATTTCTCTGAGATCCTGAACATTTTAGCCATCTCCTTTTTGTCCTGGAAGACAGTGCTGGCTTCCTTGGACTCCTGCCTCAGGACAGAGTGAAGTTGACAGGGCTGCCAGACCACAGGGTTTCAAGAAGCATAGCCAAAAGGGGCAGGATGTTCTTCTGGGATTTGGGTGCTGACAGAGAGGAGGAAGAACCTCCTCACTCCATAGGCACCAGTGGAAATCCAGACCATACAGTCATCAGACCGAAGAGGCTGCCAACAACTTGGCTAAATAGGCCTAGTAGGTCAGGACCATTGCAAAGGCTCCCAGCCTGTTAAAAGGCTCTGTAATATGAGTGTCTCTGTTTATGTTTCTCAGTGAGAACACACAGACACACATACTCACAAACACACACTTGTACACACAAAGACACAGACGCGTATCTGTTTACTGGTTAATTTCCTGCAGGTATGAAGAGGAAATAAACAAGCGCACAACTGCAGAGAATGAATTTGTGGTGCTTAAGAAGGTGAGTGGGATGCCAGGCCCTTGGTCCCCCAGGTTCAGGAGCAAAGGAAGGCTTGAGGCCTGTGCTCTGCATAGAAGTGTCTAGTGGATGATGAGCCAGAGGAGGAGAAAGAGGACTTGCTGTTCTGATGGTCATTTAGCACAGGTCATTTATCAACTCCTTGTTCTTTTAAGAGAAAGGAATTCATCTGTGGACAGTCAGTTCCCAGCTCATGCCTACTGTGCTGGGGTACTCTTTGGGAGGGGCTGAGGTCTCCCACTCTGCTTGTCTCTGGCAAGTCTTCGTGGCTATGCTAATCCACTGACTGCCTGATGACTGCTGTGTGGAGGAGTGGGCTTAGGCTCTCTTTTAAGAAAGAGGCTGAAGGAGTTCCAGAGGCTGAGGAATCTGACTGAGGTTTGGTAATGAGTCCTGGCTAGAATGAATAATGAGTCTTTTCTTGGGGCAGCAAGTCACAGGGCTGGGCACTAGGGCATTTCCTGAGACAGGTTTATGTGAACTCAAAGAAAGGGGATGTCAAGGGGCCTCTGGATTCTCCTCAGGATGTGGATGCAGCGTACATGAGCAAGGTGGAGCTACAGACCAAGGTGGATGCCCTGGAGGGAGAAATCAAGTTTTTCAAGTGCCTGTATGAGGGGGTAAGACATCCTTCCTCTGATCTCTCCTCTGGGAGGACAGCCTTGTGATAAATAGTTACAATACTCAGTAACTAAGGGTCTAGGGATCACCAGCAGTTGAGTGCTGGGAGCTTTGCAGAGTTAAGGCAGAAGTAATGATCTGTCTTGGTCTATCATATCCTTGCCTGACTCCAGATATCCTGCTGTTGTATCTTTGAGAGAGCTGTGGGTCCTTATGAGGTCCCCATTAAACCTCAGCCTAACATGTTCTTGTTCCTGTTTGTCATCTTGACGCTTGGGATGTTTCCTGGAGTCTTGGACAGGAGTCCCTAAGAGGTGGGAACTTCTCCCAACCTTTCTACTTTTTTTTTTCTTTGTAAATATCTGACTTTCCATCTTAGCCTATTGGCAAGCATCCATGGACTCCTGTGTCTTCAGTATCCTTCTTGTGTTTCTGGCCAGGATGTTTCCCACTATCTTCCCCATATCTTGGGTGACACAACATATGAGCTGTCTTCTCTTTGACCTGCCTCAAACCTATTCATCAATTTTCCAATGTGGTATTGAACTTGAGCTGGTGAGCTCCATTCTTACAAACTTTGGAGACTGCAGTTTGCATGTGTTTGCGGTGGTCTGGAGTCATTCCCACTAGGACAAGGCCATTACCTTGGCACCTTCCTCTGATTGAAAAAGGCATTTTGTGCTTCCTTGTCTCTCCTGCAGGAGATTGCCCAGATGCAATCCCATATCAGTGACACATCTGTCATTCTGTCCATGGACAACAATCGGAACCTGGACCTGGACAGCATTATCACTGAAGTCCGTGCCCAGTATGAGGACATTGCCCTGAAGAGTAAGGCTGAAGCTGAAGCATTGTACCAGACCAAGGTGAGGCTATGCACTCTTTCAAAGTGGTGTGTGCATGACTTCTGTCTACTCTGTCTTATCTGTCCCATGACCTGCCATGGTCTCTGAACTTTGGCCAAGCATATTCTCAGTCTTATGCTGTGCATTGTCCCTGGTGCTCAGGGAGGCCCAAATGGAGGAGAAGACACAGCTTTGTCCTTGGCATCCTCTTAAATGGTGGCAGTCATTGGAGGTTGTGTGGAGACAAGTGCTGAGTGCACACTTGGGAACCAGGAGGTGATAGGGGAGGTTAGGATCAATTTCCTGGAGGCAGAAGAGCACTGAACAGAATCTGGCAGGAGGGAAAACATGAGCATGTAGCATCTCAGCTCTTTCAGTCATTATAATAAATTAGGGGTCTTTCAGTCTTATTTGGGATCAGGTAACTCCTACCTTTTCACTGAAGCCCAATTCTGAGGATAAAGGAGAATTTGTGTCCCTTAGATCTTAACTCCTCTAATGAGTTGTGGGTGGGAAGTGACTCTGTAGATAATTTAGTTTCTCAGATCAAGATGGCACATTCTAATTGTTCCCTGCCAGGTTCTTTCTCTAGGGAAATCATTCTTAGTAGATGTTATCTCTCCCTCTACCTTAACTCCTTGCTAGTTTGGCCTTTGAGAAAGTAGGGGGAAGCGTTCAAGACTCAAAAGACAACACAGTTCAAAGCTTCTTGATAAAGACTCAAACTTGAATCCCATCCCTGGACCCTTCCACACGACCATTACAAGCCATGGACAGCATGAGTAAGAAGCATGAGTCCAGGGTGGAGAATAGGCTGAGAGATGAGCAGCAGGACAGAGCTGTCTACTAGCCTTGAGTCAGAACAAGGGTAGGGGGCACCTACATAGTCTTCCAGGGAAGCAAGACAAGCCCACTTGTCCTAGGGTAGCACCAAGGATTAAACACAAAGAACATGGAGAGATGCCCCATGGCCCTCTGGAGGACTTAGTATTCATAGGAGGAATTCTCAATCTGGGACCATGCTGGGGACTCAGGGACAGAGACAGAGCAGTGCACTAGTGGTCTCAGGGTACTGATCCTACAAAATAAAAGCACTTCTGTTTTGTGGTTCCCTTAAACCAGATTTTAGGATAGACCTGTTGACTATTCAGTGGGTGATAGCAAAGGCAGGAATAATCCAAAATAGCAGATGACCTGAAATTCATGTTTGCTAGTATTAGAGTATAGCTGAATGAAGCCCACCACACACACACACACACACACACACACACACACACACACACACACACGTACACATGTGTGTGAGCACATGCACATGCACACACGTAAACACTTGATGTTTCTCCATGCTAAGTCTTCTATTTTTTCCTCCCAGCCCATCAGGATAGCCTGGGGCTGAAATAAGCTATCAAAGAGATTTTAGAAAGTAGGGACAAACAGCTTAATCATTCATCAGTCACACCTTTTTATTTGAGACACAATCTCACTCTGCAGTTCAGGCTGACATTGGACTCACTATGTAGCCCAGGCTGACCTCAAACTCATGGGAATCCTCCCACGTCAGCCTCCCAAGTGATGGCATTACAGGTGTGTGGCACCACACCCAGCTTGATCATATCTTTTAAAACCATAAATGAGTACTAGGAATTTAGTGAGGGAAAGTTTGAATACCTATCTATTCTGAGTGTGCTGAGGAAGGCACAGAAATGTGCCATCATGGTACAGGGTGGTTTTACTTATGGACTGGTGTGTCAGGGACAATGGAAACAGAACTGCACCCAACCAGGGGATAAGAGAAGGCTTTCCAAGGATGTGGCTCAGTCTTGACTGAATTAAAGCTACTTAGGGAAAGAGAGAGTAGGATGGGAAGGATTTCCAGGTGAAGTAGACCCTCATGCAGACACAGGGACACTAGAGCATGTGGGATATTGGAAGGAACTGCAGACTATTTGGAACAGCAGGGGAGCCAGATAGGTGGCAGGAAGTGGCAATGAGAAGTGAGTACTTTGAGGCCATGTTAGGAGTTTGAATTTGACCTTGAAGGGCTACAAGCAAAAGAAGGTGATACCTGGAACTTTATGTTACAGAGTTGCAGTGTGGAGATTATGGGATTCCCAACAGTCCTCATGGCCAAACATAACTGTCAGTGAGATTGGCTGTGTTTATGGCAAACAAACTCAAAGAATGGGTAATTGAAGGAGAGATTGTTGACCTCCCCACCTTTGCCAGGCTCCTCAAACAAAGGGACAGTTTTCCTGAGTCATCTACCTACCCTGGCTCCTTTCTCCCCAGTTCCAAGAGCTTCAGCTGGCAGCTGGCCGGCATGGAGATGACCTCAAACACACCCAGAATGAGATCTCAGAGCTGACCCGGTTTGTCCAGAGGCTACGCTCAGAGATTGAGAGTGTGAAGAAGCAGGTGAGGTCCTGTCTTTTTTGCAAGAGAAAGACAATCAGCTTATCATGCTCCCAGCCCCTCTTGCCTCTCTTTGCTCTTTCCCAAACTCTCCTGACTCAGTGAAGGCCTTACTTACCTCCCTTACAATTTGCTCTCACTTGAACTCTGGAGTGATCGATTAGAGGGTCTTTTCATGAAGCCACAGGGCTCAGAACAACAAGCCTCCCAGCTCTGGGCTGAAGGGCTCTACTGCCAAGGATGTGCCAGGGTCTTCTCCCTGAAAAGCTGGGTTAAGACAAAGGAGGGTCCTGCCACTGTGGGAATGTGGGGGGTTGAAGTTAGACCTCTGTGCCTTGGCACTCAGGGGAAGATGCTATCTCCTGTTTCTTAGTGCTCCAATCTGGAAACAGCCATTGCTGATGCGGAACAAAGAGGTGACTGTGCCCTCAAAGATGCCCGAGCCAAGCTGGATGAGCTGGAGGGCGCCCTGCAGCAGGCCAAGGAGGAGCTGGCCAGGATGCTGTGCGAGTATCAGGAGCTCACTAGTGTGAAACTGGCGCTGGATGTGGAGATTGCCACGTACCGCAAGCTGTTAGAGGGCGAGGAGTGCAGGTGAGGGCGAGGGGCTGGGAGAATTTTTGTAGTCCTCCCTTCTCAATCACTTTCTGAGACTGGGGGGACAAGGTGTTGGAGGGGCTTTATGGTTCACTCATAAACATAGCCTGGAACGGTGTTCACTCTGATAATCTCATAGCAGGTCCTGTGCTATTCTCCTTTAGCTCTTAAGAGAATCTCAGCTTAGTGTTGCTGCCTTTAACACTGGTCAGAACCTTGGAAATATCCCTGCTAATAAAAAGACAATGGATGCAAGTTCAGAAACTGTAGGCAGTTAACCTCCCTCCTTCCATTAAATTGCTTTATTTTCATTATATTTATATCTATTTCTACTTTTTTCTTATTTAGTTGACTAATAAGATTTTCTATTTATCTGTATTAATATCAAACTTTCTTGTTATAAGGAATGCATTTCTTTACAAAAAGCAGTCAGTTAAAAACACTAATCGTATAACAGTGTAAACACACCGTCATAGCAATAGTTGAAAGGATGGATGGCACACAAAGCGCTGACATGCTGGACTAAGACATACGGCTAGTTCATTAGCAGCAACTCCTTGTGCTAGTGTTTCCACACATGTATTTATTCAGGCAGCAGCTTCTCAGGGTAAAACAATAGGCTCAAGGGAAATACTGTAGGGGGCTCCACAGTTTCAGTCCCTACATTTTTGAAGTGGGAAGGGTAGACTGGAGGGAGGAGGTACTTTGAGGCAGCAGGAAGGGTTACCACTGCCTCCACAGCTGGGAGGGACTCGTGGAGTTGATCTGGCTGGTGACTTCTGGTCAGTGCTGAGCAGTGAAGTGAGCAGCCCTGGTCCCCTGTGATGGTGACTCACCTGTGCTTCCTCTCTCTGCAGGATGTCTGGGGAATACACAAACTCCGTGAGCATTTGTGAGTATTTTATGCCTCTGAGGGGATATTTTTAGGCAGTCAACAAAGAGAATGAGTAGGACCCTTGAGGAATACCGTGGGCTCTGCCACTGTCATCAGATACTTGCCTCCCTTGCAGAGACCTGTTGACCCTTCATTCAGAGCTGCTGCCTTCCTGGTAGAGGTCGCTCCCCATCACACTGTGGTAGTGTACACCAAATCCTCCCCTAGAAATCTTACTCATGTTGGAATGAAGCTCCCAGCCTCGCCCCGTCTCTTGCCACTTGGCATTCCTGCATGAAGGCAACTAAATATAGGGTGGCACCTTCTCTCTGAGAGTAGAGGTATTTACATACAAATACAGTGCAGACTGGTTTTAATGCTGGCCCCACAGGGTTTAATCCAGTCTCCTAATAAAAGGATGGTAAAAATTCCCTAATTCACACTATCAGTAAATTCTTTGAAAGGGAAAACTTTAAGAATGCATCGTAAAATGGACTGCAAGAGCTTGGCTTTAGTATTGTCTTTTGGGGAAGATCTTGCTACCCTTATTCATCCCAAGAATAGACAAGTACCCAATGGGAGGTTCTAATGGGATTTGAGTTATGTCCCTGTGAAGGCTTGAATAAAGGGAAGAGGTTTAAACTAGTTGGGACTGGGGTGTGAAGGGCCCATAGGGCCACTTGTTCTGGGATGCACACTGATTATTGCTTCTGTTCTCCACAGCGGTCGTCAGCAGCTCTATGGCTGGGACAGCAGGTGCAGGGGCTAGCTTTGGGTTTGGTGGGACCAGCACCTATGGCTACCGGCCCAGTTCTGTCACTGGGGCTTATGGCATACTGGCTGGGGGCTGTGTCACTGGCAGTGGGAACTGCACCCCTCGTGGAGAGGCCAAAACCAGGCTGGGCAGTGCAAGTGAATTCAAGGATGTCCCAGGGAAGACCTCAGCTCTGAGCTTATCCACCAAGAAAACCGTGAGATGAAGTGACAAGCTGGTTCTCCAGCACCGGCCCCACCCTTGTTTCTCTGGACTCCCTTCCCCAAGAAATTCCTTTGTCCTATTTGTCACCATCTCCTTCTTGTTTTTTTGCTAATGCCATGTCTTTCTTCCCTTCTGCCTCTCTGCCTTAGTCTTTTAAAAATAAGAATCAGGACTCTAAGGCTGCAGTCTTCTCACCCATCATTCTGTTTCCTTCACACAAAAAGATCTTCACCTGGCCATCACTTTCCCTGTGCGTACCCTTGTAGAAGAAAGTTCTCACTTACAGATGGCCCCAAGTCTCCTGCTGCCCTTCACATCCTGGCTCACCGTCCTCTGGTCACGTGTTCTCTGGACACATGACAGTTCAGGGCCATTGATGGACATACAAGAACTATTGCCTGATAGCTCCAACTCTGGCTAGATACCTAGTCACAGGTTGAATGTGGCATGGCCACTGACCATGAGCTGGGAGTCTTGTTATGGCTGGTTTTTCCAACTAGAGCATTTGGACCCTCAGTCTGTGAGTTCTTGCCCTTGTTTAGGATCCCTCTTCTGCTTCCTATGTCCCACCAATAAACTTCTAAAATTCATACAGGAACATATTGCTTTTCTTTACTGAAGGAATTCTTTTCTCAGGCCTTGTCTCTTCTGTGTGTGGTATCACTAGGTGGGAACCTGGGGCATCTGAGGCCTCTCTACTCCATAGAATCCTCAAAACATCATTTGATCTGAATGAAAGAGATCCTGCAGGTACTGGAGGATGCCACCATCACCTTCTCTGATACCCAGAATTCACCTGTATTGCTCCCCCCCCTTGCACTTTTAACTCATGCTTTCCTTTGGCCAATAGTACAGAGAGAATGCCCAATCTTTAAGAACATTCATGTTATCAGTAAGGAAATTCTTATGGTGGCAAGATTTAACTCATCAAGAGGGCATGCAATGCCAGTTTTAGGAAGGCTGGAATTTGAAATGCACTATGTTTTCTGAGAAAAGAACTCAAGCTAGATTCCTCTATAAAGTAATGACTCAAGTTCAAATTATTACTTAGTAAAGTTTCTGTTGAATTAAGTAAAGATGTGCATGTATTTGTACATAGTTACGAATTGATTCACAAATGTGTGTGTACCTGATTAAGTAGGAGTTAACCTGTTTTGCACAGTACTTTGCTTGCAAAACACATGTGTACTTAGAGATATTTTGTAGACCCTCAGACTCCAATGATGCTGTCAGGATGTGAAAAGAAACAAAGGCAAATGAGAGGCGAGCACATATTTAGGATGCATCTTGAACGGAATCTCTGTGTATCTAGAGTGTCATAGTTACTTTTCTCTCTCTCAATGCCGAGACAAAATAGTTGACACCCAAAATTAAGAAAGGAAAGGTTTATTTAGCTCACAGTTTGTAGAGGTTTTAGTCTGTAATTAATTTGCTCCAAGGCAGGGTGGCATGGCTGAGAGGCAACCATTTGTGGTGGCAGAAGACAACAAAAACAACAAGAACAAAAAAGGGAGAGCAAGTCTCTTTTCCTCTTTTATACTGTAGGCAGGCTACTGCCCTATGATGGATGTAGCACTCACACTATCTCCATGCCCTCCTCTTGCACAGGCTGAGTATGTTTACAAAGTGAGGATCCTGGCCTCCTGCTGAGTTGCTTAGTTAAACTTCTAAACTTCTCAAATTGACACAATGAATCAACCATTACAACATCCTGGCCCATAAACATGTTTCTAAAGATTGGGCATTCTCTGTACCATTGGCCTAAGGAAATCCTTTACACTCTAAAATGTAGAACTAGTGAGTTAGTTAAGCTTCTGAGATTCTCAAATTGATGCACCGTATCAACCATTACAGAGTCTAGACTCCAAATGCAGAGCTTTGTACTTGGAATCTGTTTTCAACCAACTGGTGATCATAAGCAAAGTTCTCAATCTATTGGGTCTCCTTTCTTTAGCTATAAACTATGCAGAACAATAACCTCAGGTTATTGCTAGGCTGAAATGAGACAACATGGGTATATCTTGTGTAATTCCTGGCACAAAGTTGGTGCTTAAGCTTGTCCTCATTTTTTTTCAAAAGCTTGAGTTAATAAACTCACAGAAAGAGGTGTATAGCTGCTAATAAAAGGAAGACACAGAGGCAACCCAGAGCAGAGCAAGGAATTGCACAGAGGTCAGAGAAATCTCATGGATGAGGCACTAGGTTTCAGAGGATAGGCGGAAGTCTACTAGGTGGACAAGAGGAGAAAGTGGCCTTTGTAGTTAGAGGCTGCTTACGTGGTGAAAATAAAAAATTGGTTATTGGTGCTGGAGTGAGAAGAGTAAAACTCAGGCTGTAAGGGTCTCAGTAAGTGGCAAGCAGGCATGATGGCCTTGGAGTTCAGGAGGCAGCAGCATTGTATTCTTGTTTGCCACGAGCAGGGGTTTTATCTTGTAGAAGACAAGGGAGAATTGGCTCCTTGGCCATCAGGAAGGACTGTGTAACTCACTGTCTGTATGTGACATGGGCAGGATACTTCTGCTCCAGAGGCCTGAGTTTCTTATCCACAAAAGGAGTTAATAATAGTAGTCACATCAGGGAACTGTCCTGAGGATGAAATGTAATGAAATCTTGACTGAAAATTATTTAGTTCAGTGCCTTGCTTTTCACATGTACCCCATAAGCAGAATTATGAGGTACAGACTGTTCTTTCAAGAAGCAAAGATGTTCTACTAGAGATGAGGCGATTGCTTAATGAATGCAAACTTAGGTAAAGAGCCTTAGATATTAAAAGATATTTCTGTCACCTGATTTCTATGATTAGATTCAGACAATTAAGAATGACTGCTTCGAACCCTGAGATCCTAGCAGTTCAAATATATTACAGGAGTAAGTTTCTCACTCACAGTCCAAAGCAGGCTGGGGCAGCTGACCTCTGTGGTTCTCCTGCTGGCTATCCTGGGGAATTGAGATCTTCTTTCACATGATCCTGCCACACAGCACACATGACATCTAAGGGCACAGGATAAGGGAGACGGAAGAGGAAACATGGTTATAAACTGCCTCATCATCCTGGAAATGACACCTTTTATTGCCATTCACATTTCCTTGACCAACACTAGTCATATGGCTCCAAGCCCCATTAGGACATCAGAGGAGCATGGGGATGAGGAAGAGCGTGAGGATACTTAGCCTGCTCTGGCAGGCGCTGGTGCAGACTTTTTCGGGCTAGTAACCCAAGGCTTGTTTCCAGGCCAAGAATTCTCTCATCTTTTGCCAGAATTGGGAGGATGCTGGGCATATCCTTGAAATCCACGCAACAGCTTCCTTTGGTTCTAAAAATACAACCCTGGGGCTAATGTCATAAACTGATTAGGTTTCATGCTATATTTAGGCCTCTTTTATGTTTTTTTGGGGGAAGAAATATTATAACTATGTTTGGATATGAAAAATTTAAGTATTTAATGGTGAGGTGGTGATACTATCCTTCAAATATTGGTTCCCTATAAGATATATGGCCAAAGAAAGAGCCAGATATTTAAAAAAGGTTTTTAAAGCATTGAGCTTTGTTTTTACGAGAACAGTACTTGTATTAGTCACTTTCCCATTACTGAGACAAAATACTGGACACCTGGAATTTTTAAAATTATTTTAAATAGGGTAAAAAAAAACTCATAATAAAACAGAATAAGCAGATCAGAAGAAAAAAATGTGAGTGGCATAGATTTCAAAGCAAGATACTGAGACCAACACTGGCTACCATAATGTCTCTTGTTTTCTTCTAAATAGTTGTCTATATCTTCACACACAGTGAATTAATACAAAACAAAATAGTATAAAATTGATCAGAAGAGAGTAACAAAGGTATTACAAGTCTTAAAAACCAGACAATAAGAAAATCAACGATGGCTTCTATAATGTTTCTTGTTCTCTTCAGAATAGCTGTCCATACCTTTATGTATGCTGAAATTAAATAATACAAAAAACAGACTAAAATCACTCTGAACAAAGAATAAAATCATTACTGGATTTCACAGCATGACAATAGTAAATCAGCAATGGATACCATGATGTCTCTTTTTCTTCAAAGTAGGTGTTCATATCATCATGTATAATACAACGCTTGCAATTTAAAAGCTAAGAGATAGACATTGGCTTATGGTTTTCAGAAGAGTCTGTCTACAGGTGACTGGCTCCAAGGCAGAAAGGTAGGGTGGAAGAAATCTGCTTACCTCATGGCAGAGAGAGGGAAACAGAGAGACAGAGGAAGAAGGGAGAAGCTGGGGATAAGAATATAGTCTTTCAGGTTCTACCCACAATGATCCACCTCCAACCAGGCTCTACCTCCTAAGTGCACAAGTACTGCTGAACTTATCAGTGGCTGAGTCCATGGGTGACTCTTGTGCCCTGAGATCCAATCACCTTTCACACGTGCGAGACTTCTGGAGGACATGTTAGTTTTAACTCATAGTACAACTTTGTTTCTGATGTTTGTATTTAAAAATAACTTGTGTATAAAATTATATATTCATATTAAAATATAGAAATATTAAAAATAGAAAAACATTACTCATAGTTTCACTTTTTCAGCCCCTGCATTACAAAAGGTTGATTTTTTGAAAAATCACCCTTTGGTACAGCAGAAAGAACTACATAAATTTGTTGTGTTGTTAACAACAACAGTTTAGGTCTATCTATCTTCTTTCTTTCTTTCTTTCTTTCTTTCTTTCTTTCTTTCTTTCTTTCTTTCTTTCTTTCTTTCTTTCTTTTGTACCAGAGATCAAACTCATGACCTTGTACTTGCCAGGCAGTGCTTGTGCTGCTGAGCTAAATCCCTGGCCCTCTATCTATCTATCCACCCATCTATCTGATTTAACTTTTTATTTTTGAGGCAGAGTCTCACTATGTAGCCCACTCTGGCCTTAAACTCACAGCCATCCTCCTTCCTCAGCCTCCTGAGTGCTGGGATTACACGCATGTGCTGCCACATCCACCCCTGTGATTTCACTTTTTTTTTGGTACTGGGGACTGAACTCACGACCTCCCACTTGCCAGACAGGTGCTTGTGTCACTAAGCTAAACCCTTGGCCCCTGATTAACTCTTTTTAGGGCAGTTTTAGGTTCACAATAAAGCTGAGTGGCAGGTACAGAGATTTTCCATGTCTCCCTTTCCTTACAAATAACCTCTTCCATTATCAACATCCACCAGAGTGGTACACCTGTGATAGTTGATGAGTCTATCGCTATCACCAAGAATTTATAATTTATATAAGTGTTCATTCTTGGCAGTGCATATTCTATAGGTTTGGATAAATGTATAATGACTTGTACCCACCATTACAGTATCATATACAATAGTTTCGCTGCCTTAAATTTTTTTAGCATTAAGAATATTAATGGCTTTAAAAAGTCCTACAATGAGACAATCTGCTAAGCTTTTTAAACCCAGCACAGAATCTGTCTTCACATTTCTCCTCCACATGACATCTGCTAATTCACTATAGTAATTCAACACAAAAGAGAGACAGTGTAACTTGCACATTGGCAAGTCTCAGCTTAGAGTGGTTTTATCCATCTTTTGTTGTAGTACATGGTTTCAAAGGGGGGATGTTTCTGGTTTAGTCTACCTATGCTGGGTGGCTTTAACCCAAAAACTGATGGCAGGAAGTCATACCAGCACCTAAGGTGACACTGTAATCCACTGTTAGAGGTAGGTGTCATACGAACCTTTTCGCCTAGGCCTCAGCTACCTTTGATCTGCCCACGTCCCCACATGGTCAGTGCCTCTGAAACCTGCATGTGTCACTTCGGTCTCTCCATCACCTATAATGAAGGCAATGGCAGGGTGGAGGAGCTCCTGATTCACCCAGTGAAGCCCTCATGGGAGGCATTTTATCTGGTTCTTAGGCCTAGGCAGAAGAGTCCTGGTCGCAGAAAAACGGGTATCTCAGCTTCTTTGAAAGTTTCCAGAAAAGAAAGTGACTCCCAAGATTCCCTTTGTAATCAGTGCTCTTCTTTCAATCCAAATCATTTTCTTGCATTTCTATTTTCAGGGGTCAGAATTAGTACCGAAATTATGGGGTAAGGGAGGAGGAAAATCTCATGAGATAATGAAAGGCACATGAGCTTCTCTCTAGAAGGAATGGGCTACAGCCCCTCCTTCTCCTACAACACAGAGCATGCCCATTTCCTTACTGGGGACACTCCAGACATATCTATCCCTCGATCTGTATCTGGCGCCACCTTCGCCACTCATAGATGACGCACAACTTTGCTCCCAGTGGAGTAAACCGCTTGGTTGTTATTATGTCCTGTGATTGACCAAGTAGAGACCATGTCAGTCAGTTACCTCCAAGTACCATCTGGCCACCCATGAGGCCCAGAGGACAGCCCAGGCTCCAGGTAGAACCCAGGCCCCAGCAATGAGTCCTGTCCTAACCACCAGTCTGCTTCACAGTCATCCAGGAAATCCCTGGTGCCTAGGCCAGGGCTGAACTCTAGGGAGCAGGGGGAGGAAGGCTTGATCTGTTGGGAAACCTGGCCTGCTCTAGATCCCTCCCCTACCCCTAGGCCAGCCCCACAGGGAATCTACACTGAAGATCCTGGCAGTGGGGAGCAAGGTAATTGGAGGGCAGCCCGTGGAGATAAGGTAGCCAAATTATTATAATGTGAGAGATCGGCAAAGAAAATGCAGGGTTCTAGGCCATTTTATAGGGAATTGATGAACAGTCCAGGAGGAAGAGACAAAAATCTTGGACTGGATGGTAATTTCCGAAATGCAGGACCAAGTGACCTCGGAGGTGTTTCCAACATACGAATTAGCCTGACTCCAGTCTGCTGGCCCCTGCTGACCTATTTAAGGGCAGAGCTGGGCCAGGAGAAGCAGTGGCCCCAGCCCGCCAGCACGTGTCATTCAGCAGCCTTCCCAGTCCTCACCAGTATGAGCCGCCAGTTGACCCTCTTGGCCTGCGGGGAGCGCCCGGGCTTCAGCGGCTGCTCCGCTGTCCTCTCGGGCCGGTTCGGCAGCAGCCGCTCCTCCTTCAGAGCCGGGGTCAAGGGCGCAGCGCCTTTCGGCAGCAGGAGCCTCTTCAGCCTGGGAGGCAGCCGGCGCCAGGCGCGCTGCGCGGGGTCCGAGTGGGGCGCCGGCTTCGCGCTGGGCCGTGGGGGTGCGGGCGGCGGCCGCCCTGGAGGCTTTGTGGGCACCATTTTCGGCAGCGCGGGGCTGGGGCCCTCGTGTCCTTCCGTGTGCCCGCCTGGTGGCATCCCTCAGGTCATCGTCAACAAGAGCCTCCTGGCTCCCCTCAACGTGGAGCTGGACCGCGAGATCCAGAAGGTGCGCGTCCAGGAGCGGGAACAGATCAAGGCGCTGAACAACAAATTTGCCTCCTTCATCGACAAGGTGGGTCCTCCAGCCCTTGCCTGTGCCTGCGATGGCGCCCGGTGTTAACACCTGTCAGCCTCACTTTGCTGTCTCTTGAAATGGACAAAATTTACTCCAGGGCATTCTAACAAGGGCCGAATAAGATCTTTATAGAGGCTGTCTCACTCAATAAAGGAAAATCTCATTCTTGCCTTGTGGGACAAGATCCTGGGAAGGAAAGGGTCCCTTAGAGGCAGGAGACCTGTGGAATGGGTCCTCTTGTGGGCTCCCAGTACCAGGATGTGGGTACTAGATGGACACAGGCCAAGAGAGGTGAAAGGTGACTGCGGAAAGACTAGAAAGGTAGGAGGAGTGTGTAAGCCAGGCAGGTTTCCAGAGGAAGTAGGACAAAAGGGCCACAAAATTGAAGGGTAGGGCCGTTGGACATTTTAAAGGAGGGCATGTGAAGTTTGGGATAGCAGCGAAGGCCTCTCAAGAGATTCAGTGGCAGTGACTCCGGGAGTGGGAGGAGGCTGGGAGTGGGCTTCTCATCTCCACTGAGGAAACAAGGCTAGACCATGCGTGGAGATAGAGGGACAGATGTCATAATGATGCCAATAGCAGGTATAATAATAATGACAATAGCTGATATTGATGGAGGCATTGCTTGGCACCTGGTGCTGTCCCAAGTGACACATTTATCAATGCACAATCCATAATCTGTTATTATTTTGCCTTGAAGAAGAGGAAATTAACACAACCGGAATGCTAGAAATGAGCTCAGGTTGGTGGAGCACTCAGTGGTGGGCTGTCTGCCTCACCTCCATGCTAGGGAAGAGGAGTGAGGTGGCTGGAGGGGCTAGACCAGGAGTGGGAGGAACACTACTGTTTTGAAGAATGGAGGCTATCTCTTTCCTCTTTCAGAGATAGTTGCTCCTGAACATTTCCTGTGTCTCACCAGCTTAGAGATATATAAGAAGAGGGTGCTGGTGAATAACAAGGGCCTAACATGAGGACTTTTAGATGGCAGAATCTGCTTTGAACAATAACTGCAAAAACAAAAACTCAACCAACCAAGAACAGTGGGACTCCATGAGGCAAAGCATCCTGAGTACCAGATTGACTTCCCAGTCTGCTTTTCCTCTGCTCTTTCCCAGAATCTAGAATGAGAAGTCACCCTGGTCACACGAAAACTAAGCAGAGGTGGATGACATCACTGCTTAAGCTCACTTTCTAATTTCTTTTAGACTGGATCTTGCTTCTTGTCTTGGAGATCCAAATGGCCACGTCCCTCTGGCTGAATACAGTCTGATGAGCCTTGCCCCATCCTGTCCCACTTGTGACAGGCAACAGCATAGTGACTGTGGGTCATGCTTACCTTTGGGTTCCAGGTGCGTTTCCTGGAGCAGCAGAACCAGGTGCTGCAGACCAAGTGGGAGCTCCTGCAGCAGCTGGACTTGAGCAACAGCAGGAAGAAGCTGGAGCCCATTTACGAGGGCCACATCAGCAGCCTGCGGAAGCAGCTGGAGACGCTGTCTGGGGACAGGGTGAGGATGGAATCAGAGCTGAGGAGCATGAGGGACATAGTGGAGGACTACAAGAAGAGGTGAGTAGGAGACAGAAAATGCTACTGGAGAATGTGACTGCAGATGAGGTTTCTATTTCTAGTCAGCATTTTTGTTTTCTTAAATCCTATGCTTAGATCAACACTATTTCCTATGCCATAGGAAAGAGAGGGACATCCAGGCAGAAGGGGACTTAGGAAAACAATGGATCTACCCAGAATGGTGCTCGAAATTGTAGGAAATGAGTGTTTAATATCTAACCTTAGTAAAGCCTTAGGAAGAATGGTGGAAAGAGAATTGGATCAACATCCAGTGGACAAGCCAAGTGGCTTTGTAGTTCCTCTGGAGTGAGATTTTGGCAGTTCCCAAGATATTAAAATGCCCCACTTATCCTAGAACAAACCTAAAAATTAAGCAAAAATGAATTTTGAAGACATGTTTCATGTTGAAAAACTTACGTTATGCTCTTTATAAAAGATAAAATGGAAATGTCATTGAAATTAGAGATTGAGATTTATCTCTTCCTCTGAATTGAGCTAATCATAAGAAAATGTAGAAATCTAGGTGCAGTTTGATTTAGCATTTTGGAAGATGCCAGGATTTCTAGGAATAGGTGGTTTCTTCCACAGTTTAAGAGGATGGAGGTGGTCACAGCTGAGTTCTTTCTCTTGCTCCATGTTCAGTCTGCCAACCCTTCCCCATTCACAGCAGGTGTGGGCCTGTTTTGTATGGAGACCCCTTGGGAGGAGGTGGCATGGTTCCTGACCTCGGAAAGTACACAGTTTGTGAGGACAGGTTAAAGAATGTTTTCACCCAGTGGAAATGAATATAGTGTGAGCTGAGATCAAATGGCATTAAAATGGGAACTGGAGCTCAAGCGGTGATCAAAGTAAGACCTGGAAAGAAGAGGCGGGAGGCACAGTTCAGGGCTGAGGTATGTGGGGCTGTGCTGTCTCTGGAGGGTACGGAGTCTGGAATTCCAGGATTACTACTCATTCACTGAGCAGCTGTGTGCCAGCCTCCTGCTTCACCATGAACTTTAATACTAATATTTATAAGAACTATGCTGGGCATCCTATCACTCCAGGAGGCTGAGGCAGGATTGCAGGTCAGAGCCTACGCTCGGTGACTTAATAAAAAATAAAAAATGCCTGGGATATAGCTCATCGCAGAGACCCTGGATTCAATCTCAAGTATTGGGAGAAACAAAAAACAAAACAAAACAAAGCAAAACTAACAACCAATCCTGATATTTACCTTGACACCTAACAAAAATGTTGGGAAAATAGCTTACAGATTGAAGTACTGACAACTCTTAAAAGAATCAAAGTGTAAAACACATGTAAGGCAGTGTTTCCTTGATATTCTTATAGTTGAATCCCAGTATCATTACTGTTATGATCTCGGCCAAGTTTTAATGTCTTTCCCTTCATTTATAAAACTGACATGAAAATGGAAGTAATTTCAAGGGCTGGGGATATAGTTCAGTCGCACAGCACCTGTGTGGCAAGTGCGAGGTCATGAGTTCAATTCCCAGCACCAAACAAACAAACAACAGAAGTAATTTCAGAGGTCGCTGTGAGAATGAAGTCAAATGACAAGTATAGCACAATAGCATGTGGTGTGGAGTAAAATAAATAGTACTTACATTCATTACGATTATTAATTTCTTCCACTGTTGGGTTGCTGTATTTGTCTCTTACAACATCTTATCACAGATCTTAGTTGTAAATCATCTTTGAATTAGCATTTACCTTCCTATTAAACTATGAGTTTCTAGAAGGCAGGTGACGTGTGTCTTATGCATCATGGTATGCTCTGAGGTTCTCTAAAATAATTTTTAAAAATTCACAATTTTAAAAAGTTGGCATCTAAGATTTTTATCATAGATTTGAGTATAGTTGCCAAGAATATAATTTCAAGATCACTATGTGTATTGCCATTTAAAATGACACAGGCTACGTCAGCATGTCCCCAGTTGAGTCTAGGTGTCATGACGGTTTAATACACCATCCTTCATCTGGAAAGTTAACAAGCAGTGCAAAATCGTACTTACATTGATCCTTTTCCCATCTGAACTCCACTTTTCATGCTACTTTCACCATGTAATTTTATTATAGTGAAATATGTTTTTTATGGCTATACGTCTTTTGTTGACCTTCCTAGCTACCACTCAATAGGCAAATAACTTGAAAAGTCTAAAAGTCTACTTCTTGTAACTATGGGTTTTTAAATGCTGAGTTGAGTTATCTAGATGACAAACTATGTTACCAATTTTTATTGCAGTATTAAACATAAAAAGTTAAAAAATTTTGGAAGTATATTTTTTAATGAGTCAAAAGGGCCAATTTTCTTCTAACTGGCTTAGCTATCCGTGTATAAATGTTGATTCTTGTTAGAATAAAATAAGATTCTAGTTCTACATATTTTTCATTTTTCAGTAAGTTCTGGGAAACTTTTCTATTAACAGATTTCAGTGGAAGGAAGAGTGTTGATTCTGTGAATATTTTTTCAGTTTTTCTGCTTTTTTTCTCCCATTGCACTTGTTTCCTAAAATACAGTATCATGTATTTTACTATTTATTATGTTTATTGAGCTTCCTCTGCTTCATAAAGTCAGGAGTATATTTGTTTTTCCCACTTACTCCAAGTGTCTACACTCAACATATATTTCTTAGATAGATTGCTACCTGCTAAAATCACATTAATGACATATCAGGAAAAACCATTTTAAACAATTTATCAGCTGGCAATCTATCAGGCCTTTCTTTCTCCTCTTCCCTTTCTCCTTCCTTCTTTCCTCCCTCCCTCCCTCCTTTTCTCCTCCTTCCTTCCTTCCTTCCTTCCTTCCTTCCTTCCTTCCTTCCTTCCTTCCTTCCTAGTTCTGCCTCCCTCCATCTCTCACTCCCTACTTGCTGGCAAAAAATGAAAACTATTTGATTTGCGAAACAGATTTGTAATTTGCTTTCCAAATTTCTGGAAAGGTTTTCAGTACACCTTTATCAGGACTCATCAATTCAGGTTTCTTATGGACACCTGTTCAGTTAAAAAAATCAGAAAGGATTGGGAACATACAAATATCATCAGTACTCAGCACACCTTTGTTAATTCTTTGTTTTTTTTAATTTAAATGGTGTGATTCCATCCCATGCTTTAATATGTGTGACATGCACACAGACACAAAAACACATTTTTGAAACTTTGGGCTTGACATTTAGCTCATGGGAAAGGACAATTTTCATTTCATGTGGAAGGCAGGAAGTGAGGGAAGGAGGGAGGGAGAGAGGAAGGAAGGAGAAAGGGAAGAGGAGAAAGAAAGGCCTGATAGATTGTCAGCTGATAGATTGTTAAAAATAGTTTTTCATGATAAGTCACGGTCAATGAAACCACAGAAATAAAAGTTACTGGCTTCATTGGTAAATTTAAATAAAAATATGTATATTTGGGGGATATTATTAAGTTACTCAGCACTAAATGAAGGGATACGTTATATAGTAGATTATTGAAAACACTTAAGATTAAAATAATGTAGATTTAATATAACTAGCACATTTATTTAACATCATTAACATTACTAACATAGACTCTATGTTATGAAGCCAGATAAATCAGTGTGCGCTTTCTCATGGCTTAATTTTTTTTATTCTGCACAGAACTATTTTATTTTTTTATTTCTTAAATTTTATTTAAAGAAAGAAAAAAAAGAAAATTAAAGAACAAAATAAAAAAACGAGAAAAAAGTAGAATACAAAATTAAAAAAGATTAACATCATAAAATCACTAGTCGGTACGTTACATATTGTCATCTCTACAATTGTTGTTAAAGTTACAAACTCAAAGTATAAAAAGTGGCTAGATGCTCAAACATTGGCAATGCAAACCCTTCTGTTCAATGATCTACCAGGAGTTTAGTAATATGATCATCAATCTTACACACTATACATACCGTTATATCCTTTAAAGCACTTTCCTTCCCTTTCACTTTTACAATAACTATTATATCTATTATACTTTTATATCAATTATACTTTTTGGATACCATTATTCTGTTTCATGGCTTAATTTTTAATTATACATTGTAACACATTTAAGAATATGTTACTTTTAAAGTCAATAGTATTATAAATAAATTTATTCTTTGTAAATTTGAGTATGTGTGTATTGAACTCTGGTCTGTGATTTCTAGACATAAATCGTGAAAAATACTTATAACTAATGTTATTGATTTTGACAAACATCTTGATCAAATGGTTTTAGATAGTTTATAACATAGAAAGATATAAGCTACTAAGAAATACTTGATCTGGCAACTAGCATATGCTTTTAGTTTTATCAAGAAATGGTTGCTATGCTACTATTGAATATTTTACAAAGTAATATAAAGATCAAATCTCTTTAAATAAGTGTCTCATGATGTCATTTGATAAAAAGATTCCAATTGTTTTTTGAATCACATAAAATCTGTGATAAATCAGGTAAACTGTTTTCTGTAGGGTTATCCAATATAATTAGGAAAAGCTGGCAAACTCAGACAATATCTCATATACATTTAAAATAATTCATTTCCGTAATTCACACTGTATCAGCCATTCAGCAATTTTTTTGTGGGAAGGAGGCTACCAGAGACTAGCCTTAGGACTGAAGAAAGAGCTGGAAAACTTTGATATATTTAAGTATATGAGAAAAAATAAGCTATTGTCTAGTATTAAAGATTTTTTTCAAATTTTTACTGTGGTAAAACATACATAGCATAAAGTTTGCCCTATTAACCATTTTAAGTGTTAAATAGACTTGTAATATTTCATAAGTATCACCACCAGCCACCTCTATAATTTTTGTATCTTGCAAAACTGAAATTCTATACTTGTTGAACAGTAATTTTCCATTTCCTTCTTCCTCCCACTCCTGAAAACCACCAATTTGCTTCTATGATTTTGACTATTTTAAGACTACCTTACGTAAGCAAAACCATACATATTTGCTTTTTTATGACTGGCTTATTTCACTCAGCATGATATCCTTGAGGTTCATTCATGTGGTATCATATTGCAGAGTTTTCTATAAGATTGGGTACTACTTCCTGGTTTGCATATGCCACATTTTGCTTACCTACTTAGCGTTATTTCTTACCAATGGTCAATATCTTTGTTTTCTTAAATGTTTTGTTGTTTGTTTGTTTTTTTTTTTTTTTTTTTTTGAAATGAGGTCTCACTGTGTAGTTCAGGCTGGGCTTGAACTCACCACATAGCCTAGGCTGACCTCGGACTCATGGCAATCCTTATGGCTGCCTTGGCCTCCCACGTGCTGGGATTACAGGTGTGCACCATCATGCCTAACTCAAATGTCTTGTAATACATTCTTTTGATAACAATAAGGGCTGAAAGAAGTGGTCTTTTTAAACAAGATGAGGAATAATCTTACTTCCCCAATTGATAATATTACTATACCCCAGCCCCATCTTAACAGTTTCCAAGAACTTGCTTTACTTGGAAGAGAAATTGTGTAAGAAATGCATGTAACATGCAGTTCAGAGGTGGGAACAGTGCTTTTGCTTTGGGCTAGGAGGCTCTAATAGCCTGGACCACCATGCCATATTAAGGGAATGTGCTTTTTTCCTGTAACATGGGAGAGGCCAGTTGTGAAAGGGAATTGGGACAACAGAATCTGCACATATTCTTTCTCGGGCAACTCATTTTAGAGCCAAATGCTTGTGAACTGAGGAGCTACAAACGGACTGCTTTGAACTTGTCCTTGTCCATGTCTCCCTGGGGGAAGTTGTGTGTGCTTCAGGGATAAATGACCACACCGTACAATCTTGGCAGAGATGGGTCCCCTAACTTCTCAGTGGGAGTTTTCAGGACTGAATTATCCCAGTTACAGGGCCACATCCTCTTTTGTCCCACACAGGTATGAGGTAGAGATTAACAGACGCACTGCTGCAGAAAATGAATTCGTGATGCTGAAAAAGGTAAGATTGTGTAGGCCTGGAAGGAGCTTAGAGGGTCCCACCTGCTGGCACACTGATGTTTGTAGGGAGAGGAAAGGAACCCTCCAGGAAGCTCAGTTCCTTGGACAAGAGAGATTAGAATTCTAACTTCCCATCTCTTCCTTTCAAATCCCATTGCTTGGGATGCATGCTGCACCTAGAATCTGCAACTTGACATCCAGGAAGTCTGCTGCATTTTCTGTGTTGATTTTTTTCTCTGGGATTGAGTCATTCTTGAAGTTTGAGGGAAGGGGAGTAGATGGATCCAAGGAGGGCAGGGAAGCGAAGGCAGCTGATCCTCTCAAGACAGCTGGTGGTCATGTGTTTCCTAGGATGTGGATGCTGCCTACATGAACAAGGTTGATCTGCAGTCCAAGGTGGACTCTTTGACAGAAGAGATCAAATTCTTCAAGCACCTCTATGAAGAGGTAAGAACTTCACTGATCTCTCTTGCACAGGCTGCTCCTCTTGCAAGTGGTTTATGGTCCATTCTGGGATGGTTCCTGGATAAAGGGACAGAAAACACAGCAGGTGACTCCCCAAGTCCTCTGAGTGCCATGAGAAAGTGTTCTAACTTGATTCTGCAGAGGGAAGGATGGGTTGCTAGCTATTGAGGAAGAGAATATAGAAGGGTAGGATAGTTCAGAGTACCTGGTGGAAAGGGGAGTCTCATTGCTTACGGCCAAAGTTCAAGGTGCCCATTTCCACGCCTGGCAGCCGCTGAGTTTAAACGTTGAGGAAGGGTGGGAAGAGCAGTGGGGAATTTGCTCCAGAAGGGTCAGGAGACATGATTCCCCCCATAGAAGCCCCCCTAACTGGCTACCCTTTCTCACCTGTCCCCAGGAGATTGCTCAGATGCAGTCCCATGTCAGTGACACATCTGTTATTCTGTCCATGGACAATAACCGGGAGCTGGATCTAGACAGCATCATTGATGAAGTTCGAGTCCAATATGAGGAGATAACCCACAAGAGTAAGGCTGAGGCTGAGTGCCTCTACCAGATCAAGGTGAGTTGTGTACTAAAGCCCAGTGATCACAGCTCACAACTTCTCATCATCATGCATAGGTGCATGTGTTAGTATGTTTGTACTTCTGTGTGTCCATGTGTGCATATGTGTCTGTGCAGTGTATTTGAGCCCAATGGAGACCTACTTTATATTGGAGTGAGGCTTCAGGACAGTGCCTCTCAGTAGATAACAGTCTTGGCTTATACTGGGGACGTATATGGGATTAGCCTTTCCCTCAGCTGAGGCCATCCAAGCCACAACCTGATAAGACTACTAGTTTCTTTGGATAATCCACATAGCTTGGTTTTTCTTTTTGTTTCTGTCTTTGGCAAAATGAAGACTGAAAATTCAGACTCCACCAATATTCTTATATTTGAGGACCCAAGGATTCTATTGAACTAGGGAAGGTCCCTTCCTCTTCAGAAGAAAAGAGTGGATTCTCTATTTCCCCTTATATCTTCCCTCAAGCTCTCCTCTGAGACCAACAAACCCATGAGTTCTCCAGTGTTTGGAGAGGCCAGTGCAAGGGCTTAAGGCTCTCTTCACTAGTGCTAACATGGCTTTATTAATAAGCATAAATGTGATCACTCTTCCTGTGCACAACACTCCTACACAGGTGTATTCTCAACAGCCTATTCTTCTCTTCTTTTGTCACTCAACCTCAGATCCAGGAGCTGCAGGACACAGCAGGTCAACATGGGGATGACCTCAAATTCACCAAGGCTGAGATCTCAGAGATCAATCGGCTGATCCAGAGGCTCCACTCGGAGATAGGCAATGTAAAGAAGCAGGTGAGTTCTAGGAAGTGAATCAGTGGATGAGGCTTATTGAGCTCCAACCTAGACAAGGCAGAACATGAGAAAAGGGTAAGTCATGGTCCCTTCCTTAGGCATGTAAACAGGGTTTGCACAGGAGTGGCCTTTGCTGTGGTGATGCTGTACAGGGACACTGCACTCAGTTCTCCTCTCTGGAAGTGCACAATTTGGGAATGCACCTGTGCCACCACATCTGTGGCTTGGAAGCCAGAAAACCCATGAATTGCTCAAAGTTTGCGGAGGTCAGACAAGGATTTAAGCATCTTGACTTCCTGAGAAGATTGTTGCCCCATTTCCTTGCTTTTCATTCTTTATCCCCTTACTCCCCCTTCTCTCATGCAAGCGCTCATGTTCTTTTGGGAAGTGGACTAGGGCCAGTGGGAAGAAGAAAAAGCAACATTAAATAAGAATGTGTGAGGTGGGAGGATCTCAGATATGAGCCCAGATTAGATAACTTGGTAACTAGTGAAGAACTTGTCTCAAAATGAAAAAGGGCTGGAGATGTAGTTCAGTGTGAAAGGCATGGATTCAATCCCCAGTACAGAGTGGGGGGAGAGAGAGAGAGAGAGAGAGAGAGAGAGAGAGAGAGAGAGAGACAGAGAGAGACAGAGAGAGAGAGACAGAGAGACAGAGAGAGAGAGAGAGAGAGAGAGAGAGAGAGAGAGAGAGAGAGAGAGAGAGAGAGAGAGAGAGGAAGATCTACATAATGCAAGAACAGCACAGGTGTTTGAAGTGTCCCCAGAATTCAGTGTAAAATATTATGTGCTCATGGTTAGGTGTGGTTATTATTGGAAAATGACATTTTTTAGATTAGAACAGCCCCATACTCTGTTGATCAGGGAAGATGTTTCTGTGGGGATCCTGCAACACTTGGTCCCTATTTAAATGTCTTTTGAGGGCCCTCAGCCAAGGGGCTTTCTTGCCATTCTTCCCTCCTCAACCAAAGAAGCCTATGATTCACATCAGAACCTCTTGGCATTTGGGACCCCAGAATCTATGTGATATTTGTTTCAAAGTATGCTAAAATTTCATGTCATCTCAACTTCCATGACCTTCAGAAGATCCAAGTCTTTGGCATTCCCTGGGGTCTTGGTCACTGAAAAATGATGGAGGACTATTTGAGTGAATTCTGGTGGCAGTGTTTCTTAACACCTTCCTTTGTGATTAGACCGTTACAGTCCCAAGAACGACATGATTTTCTGTGGGAGGCAACTGGGTCCTAGGTATCTTGAGGTTGTGGGTATTGGCAGTGCTGGGGGCTGCCTAGCTGAGGAGGTAGCACCAGTTTAAAAACCATCTAGATAACTATTTGTTAGAGTTAGCTGTTGCTTTCCTTGATGTGAAGCAAAGTCAACTCCATGGAAAGGGGACACTCCAGAAAGAGAAGGTTAGTGCTCAGATCCTGTCAAAACCTAAGCTGAGTAACCAGAACATGTTCAGTCTAAGAAACTCTAGAAGGCTCTAGGGCGTTCACTTGCAAGCAAGCACACAGCCCTATCTGCAGTGTTTTCCAAAATGGGTTACATGATTCCACCTAACAGAGGCTTTGTGTCTCCTGTAAAATCTGTATGTTATGTAAGAACAACTTTTAAGCCTGTCCTTAACTTTTAATATAATTCTCTGTGGGGTTCTGGGGGTGAGACTTCAGGTGTGGTAAGCTTATTAGAAAGATACTTGATTAAGAGGAATGTTGTTAGCCCCCACTCTCCTGGGATTTACAGTATCTCCCGAGATAACCTGTGCACAGAGTTGCATTAGGTATGGCTACCTGGAGACTTTTTCAGGCTTGTCCTTAGAATCTTATAGCCGATGTTTCAGGCCCAGCAGGACTGGGTTGGGTCCATATATCCAAGTATCCCATCTTCTTGATGTCCTTCCCCTCCACTCTCCCAAGTATAGGTTTCTACTTCAGATGCTAAGGGCTGATTGGGATGGCTTCTGCCTGGAGTCAAGGAAAGGACTGACTCAATCTACTCATGTCCAATGTTAAATCAACCAGGAGGCAATCAAAACATTTGCTCAGTCAGGACCACAAGAGGTTGGAACTGGGCTCCTACTCAAAGTGCTGACTCTTTTTGTCCCTCAGTGCTCTAACCTGGAGACATCCATTGCTGACACTGAGCAGCGGGGAGACTGTGCCCTCAAGGATGCTCGGGCCAAGCTACACGAGCTGGAGGGTGCCCTGCAGCAGGGCAAGGAGGAGCTGGCCCGGTTGCTGCTTGAGTACCAGGAACTCCAAAACATAAAGCTGGAGCTGGACGTTGAGATCGCCACCTATCGCAAGCTGCTGGAGAGCGAGGAGAGCCGGTGAGGTGTTGAATAGCTTCTGTGTGGGACAGTTTTCTTTGTACTTTAGTAGGAAGCCCAAGGCAGACAATTTGGTTCTGTTCAGGTGCCCTATTAAAATAAAAACCATCCAGCAAATGGGCTTGCCTTGTGGTAGGGAAGTTATTCAGCAAGAGGGACCAAGTTGTAAAAATCGGAGATTGTGAGACAGAATATTAATGTCACAATTTTTGAGAAACAGCATTCCCTAGCTTTGTATGCATAGATCACAGGGAGGAAGTGCGTGATAGTCAGCAAGAGTCATCCAAATTCAAGGTTGCCCTGGCAATTCCTGGGGCTTAGTGAGGACACGGACTCATTCTTAAAGTTTAAGGCCAATGGCATCACTGAGGGAAATGGGACAAAACTGTCCTACACAACAGATAAACTTACAGCTCCTACTGGAGTGTGACTCCCTGTAATGGAGCTCTCTCCTCAGTTCTCAATTGCTTGAGAGGTCCTGCTAGAATGTGGGCAGAAAGTGTTGGGGTATGTTCTTAGAAGAGAAAAATTACTCCCAGAGGTGACTCCTTGGAGAGATCAGGAGATAACTAAGAAGAATTTGCCTGTTTTCTTCTCCTCTGCAGCATGTCTGGTGAATACCCAAATTCCATGAGCGTCTGTAAGTACTTGTACATCTCAGTTCTGACCATGGTCACTTTACCAGAAGCCTAAGTCCCTTTAATTTCGTGATACAGTATAGAAAACAGAATCACAGAGAGGGTTCAACAGAGACATGAAGACAGAAAAGGAAGTTGACTTTAGTAGCAAAAGGGAAACAATGAATGGAGAACAATAGTATCATTAATACAAAAGATCCTTAGAGAAAGATCCAGTGACATCAAACAGTCTGCTGAAAGAACAATGCTTCATGGCTACCTTCTTTTCCTTTTGAGATCAGACCAGTGTAAGGAGCTTAGGTTGTAAGAAAAATGATTGAGGGAGGCCTCAGGGGCTGAATAATTTTTTAAAAGGCACCTGAAACGATCATCTTCAGGCTTAAATCCTGGAGAGATGATGGATAAAAAGCAGGGATACTTTCTTTCTTTTTTTTTTTTTTTCTTTTTATCGGTACCAGGGATCGAACTCACGACTGCCTGCTTGCAAGGCAGGCGCTTATGCCGCTGAGCTAAATCCCCAGCCCCTTTAGAATATTTTTTTTTGGTCTTTTTCCTTTTTATCTATACTGGGGATCGAACTCACGACTGCCTGCTTACAAGGCAGGCACTTATGCTGCTGAGCTAAATCCCCAGCCCCCAGGGATACTTTCAACGGGCCCCTCAACAGCAGCAGCAGCATAGAAGTCCTCTGTCAGTAGAATATGTGTTTGCATTTTGTCCTATCCACAGGGAAACTCACTGATAGAACTTTATCTGCTAGGATCTTAAAGTCTGATATCATTAGATGACACAGACTGCTTGAAAAAGGTCAACCACATGGGGCTGAGTACATGAAAAATGAAGTCACATGTGATCAGTGTCAGTGGCAAATATACAAGAAAGAGACTATCTCATTATGAAGGCACAGTACGGGAGAGCTAAGACGGTGGTGTGGGATGTCCCAGGAGGGCCTCTGTCACAGTGCAGGCTGACTGGGGTCTTTTCTCACCGTTTCCAGCAGTAATCAGCAGCACTACTGCTGGGACAGGAGGAGCTGGTTTTAGTGTGGGCTTTGGTACCTCAAGCAACTACAGCTATAAACCTTCTGTGGTGGATGTCAAGACTAAAGTCAACTATGTCACCGAGTACAAGGATGCTCTTGGCAAGACGTCAGGCAGCAACTGTGCAACCAAAAAGGCCTCCAGATGACAGGCAGTTGGGGTGATGTGGGCAGAAGGCTGCAGAACCCAACCACTTCCCTCTCCTCCCCAGGGCTCTTTTCCAGGTCAGGAAGTCCTTTGTCACTCACCACAGTTGCAATCCTACCTCCTCTCCATGTTGGGCTTCCGATGTGGAAAGCCAGTCACTGGCCTCTTTCTTGGCCAGCTTTCACTGAGTACTGCCCCCATGCAGAGCTAATGCACATACCTTTGGTGTTTCCCCACAGCCAGCTGCCAGCCCCTCTGTCCAGTGCCTTTTTGTACCTTCAGTGCCAAAGGGTTCTCTTTGTCCTCTGACTGAAATTATGTTTTGTTCTCTGGCTTCTTCAATAAATGATGGCTGCCATTTGTCTCAGTCTGTTTTATGTTGCTACATCACAAGAGCCAAGGCTGAGGAATTTAGAAATAACCAAGGTTAATTTGACTTACCGTTCTGAGGCCCAAGAACATAGATCCAGCATCTGGCTTCTGGTGAGGGCTTTGTATTGCATCTTGTGCCAGAGAGGCAGAAAGGATAAGCGGGCATATAGGGAAAGAGCATATGTGTGAGACTGATGGGAGACACCAGATTCATTTTCTAACAGTTCTCAAGAGAGAACTCATCCAGTCTCTTGAAAGACATCAATCCACCAGTTCAGTCACCTCCCAGAGATCCCACCTCTCACCACTACCACTTTGGGAATCAAATTCCAACATGAGTCTTTAGAGACAAATCACATCCAAAATGGTACCGTTTGGTGCTCAGCGTGGAATCAGATTTATTACTGATGCAGCTTCTGGGCCAGTTCAGTGGTTCCTGTTTCCTGTGTCACAAGGGCTCTGTAATGAAGACGATGCCCCCTCCAATGGTGTCTTGCAGCCAGGACTGTCAGGAGTTGGAGCTTTGATGTGGCTTGTGGCTCAGCTGCTTGAGGACTCTATGGTCTCCTCCACTCACCACCTGGAGTTGCCAGAGTGGCCTTTCCTTCTCCTCATGTCTCACTCTGCTGTCTCCCACTTCCTGACCCCATGTCCCCACAGTGGTCCTGCTTTCCTCTTCTTTTGCTAAGTTCCTTTTCACCCTCAGGGGTGAAGTCTGTGCACATTTAGGTGCTGGGGACATCAGAATAAACAAGTGACCCAGACCCCAGAGAGCCCAAAGACTAATGGAGAGCATAAAACAAGCAAAATATCAAGTGGTGGTAAGTGATGTGAAGAAAATTAAACACAATGAGGCGCCAAGAAGCCCAAAGGTGCTCTTTTCATCCATCTGTGTTTCTGCAAGAATGTTGTATCTCAGCCAGGTAGCAACTGAAATCCTTATATTTTTCAAGTGCAAGCCTTATATAAAAGTGCCCATGTCCCCTTTTCCTCACTCACCTTTTCATATCTTTATACTCTAGACTTCCCCTAAGCAAAACACGCTTTTCTTACCCATAGCCTTTACAAATATTTCCTCAACCTCAAGCATCCATTCCCCATTTACTAGAAGACTGCTTGTCCTTTTTGGGCTGGCTAATGTGCCATCCCCCAAATTCATATGGGCCCTGGCTCCTCCAGGCAGAATCCATCAAGCCGTTAAGTGTGAATGGAGAGGAAACATCCTAGATGCTGACAGTTGTGTCCTTCCCCCGCTCTATAGGTGAAGAAGCTGAGTCCCCAAGGGCTGAGTAATTTGTTCACAGCATTGGGGAACACCAGGGTTTGGACTGGTGGCCTCACACTTGCATTGCCCCCACCCCCAAATGCGTGTTACAGTTGATTTTTTTACTTATCTGGTGGCTGCGCTGTGCCCTCACTCTACCCCGTCTTGTCCCTGGTTCCAGAATCATTAATTAAGGCTCACAGTTGGCATGCAGTGTGCATTTGCCACAGAGCCAAAAGTTCAATGCACGCACATGCACATATCTATGAGTTCACCTATAGGTGTGAAACACATATATATGTGTTAATAAATCAGTATTTTATATGTATTGGTGTGTTTATATAATTTCTTAACCAAATGGAAGCTTTTTTTGTCCTTTACAGATGCTAAATGAAATTAGGAAAAGCCAAGGCTGCCAGGCAAGTGGTCCTCCTGGGTCTGGCATTCTGGCCAAACAGTCATACACATGATTCCAAGTTCTAGCTCTTTTCTTTACCAGTTGTGACCCAGCATGAGATTCTGCCCTTATACAACAGAATTCATATAAGCTGGCCTTTGTTGAGTACTTTCTATATGCCAGAAACTCTGCTCACATGGTATAAGCACTTCCTGTTGGCAGCTCACAAATTGCCCTGCCAGGTACCTATGAATTATTGCTAGAAAGCATAATTGTTATGCTGCCCATGTCAGTTGTGAGGGTACCAAGGCTAGGAGGGACTGAATAGCTTATGAGGGTCACACAGTGACCAAATGGCAGAGGTGGGAGTTGAAGTCTAGTCTGATTCTGGAGTCTATGCTCCCAGACCTTTATCCACTAAAGGACTCACTATAGAGGCCACTCAAAAATACTAAATGAGATTACGGGAGAAAAAGTGCCTGGAATACAGTCTGCATATGTTCATTTCTCTTATGAGTATAGTCGTGCATCTCTTAATGATAGGGACATGTTCAGAGAACAGTTTGGCCAGGTGACTTCAGCCATTTGCAAATATATTAGACTGAATCCATAAGGTTCAATTCTAACATGACTCTCCCAATATCCAATGTGCCTGCCAGCAGACGCATTATTTTCAGCTCAGCCTGGGTCTGCCGTAGGCAAACACAGGATGTCTTAAGAGAGATGAGATGGAACATGGGCTCCTGCAAGCATCTGGACATCTAAAAACACCCAAGCATGCACACTGGATGTCTCAAGGACTTTACCCACTGAGGCACGAAACATCCAGAGGACTCTGACCACTGAAATTCACTAAGATCTTCTTGCCTAACATCCCTTGCTTCTTTCAAGTCCTATGAAAAAAGACCCGCTTTTCTTTGTTGCCTACAGACAGCCTTATTGCCCTCACTATGCCTGCACTTGGGGATTAAACTATGTCTCGTTGCTTTTATACAAGTTTGTTGAGTGTTCTGCCTTGCGTTGTTCCTTATAGAAAGTACATAGACTTGGATGGTCTACATTAATCACATGACATGGCCTCTTGATGCAGTAGAGGTTGCTGCTGAGGTAATGTGGCACCCTGGTTTATAGTACTTGATTTTCTTAAGTAGAAGTACCCTCTAAAATAATGGTAAACTGTATAGTAGTAAATATACAAACAAGTGACATGATCTTTTATTATCATTACCCAGTCTTATATACTGTACATACTTGTGGGTATTACACTTTTGTATGATAGACATTTAGGAGATTTATGTATACCAGTGTCACCACAGACATATGAACAATGCCTGTGCTATGATGGCTGTGGCGTCCTAGGTGATAGGGACTTTCCAGCTGCATTCGAACTTCATGGGACCACCATGGTATATACCATTCCTTTCTCCAAAACATTGTTTTCAGTGTGTATTTATCATTAAACATGCACTTGTTTGTGGGACCTTTTGTGATTGTGGGCTGTGCACTTGTTCATGCTTGTGTTTGTGTGTGTGTGTGTGTGTGTGTGTGTGTGTGTGTGTTATGTGTATGTGTGTGTGTGAATGACAGCAGTAAGACTTGTTTAGAGGTCTTGCAGAAGTGGGATAAGCAAGGGATGGGAAGCCCTGTATCTGTTTTCTGAAGCATCTTCCTTCCCTTGCAAAGATGCAAACCTTTCAGGTGCCTCTATATTTTGTGTACACATTGCCCTCTGCCAGCAGCTTCCAGGTACTGCACCTCCCATCACTGTGGCTTCCTACAGCGGAGGGTTGGTATGATCCACAGGACAGGCTACATGCCAGTGTGGAGCAGCCAGCTGGAAGAGATACATCTTTGCTCCCTGGCGTGCTCAGGCTGGCCCCAGCCTCGGTGTTGCCTGGGCCTTGTTTCCTCTTTCCCCTTGTTTTTCTCCCTGACTTCTCTCCTTGGAGGTAGGAGGGTGCAGGGGCTGCTGCTGCTGCCACCTGAACCTCCTCCTCTAGTTAGGGTTAGGTCCCCAGGCAACATTTTCTCAGAAGATGCTTGAGAACCTTGGGAGCGAGAGTCCTGTCATTCAGTAACAATACCCTCTTCAATGCCCACTGGCACGGTATGGAAACTCTGGCTGCAAGGGAGCTCTTTCTGTCTCATGGAGCACATAGTCAGTCTAAAGGAAGGCATCAGATATGAACAAAGATGATCTAGAAAGGCTTCCTAGAGGAGAAAATAAAAGGGACATGAATTGGTAATAGGGAGCTTCTGGAAGACATGGTAAGTTGCATCAGGAATTGCTCTGGGGTTCAAACTACCCTTTGCCAGCTGCCTCCAATTTCGCTTCCAGGAGTCCCTCATCCGAGCCCCCTGAAAGGTGACAGTTGCATGAAGGACAATTATTCTGCACTGTCCCTCAGCTCTTTTGTCCACATTTGACAAATGCATCCACGTGTCACCCTCCCTCTCACTTCCAGCTCCGCAAGCTCCTGGTACACACAGCTGTGCCAAGGGTCTCACTCTCCTATAAACCTCTTCTATTACCTGGGCACACCTGATGCCTCACCTCCCTGTGTCCACACACATCCCTCTTAGGAGGTCATGGCCCAAACCTTCTGTCTTCATGTGCATCTGCCCCGGGATGGCTAGGGCAGTCCTTCTAGATCCAGCTTACAGAGATTCTAGATTCTTCTTACTGATACTCAAGATGAAGCAGCACGTTCTATATGAAAGTCACCTTCAGCTCAGAACCTGAACAGTATCATGGTCCATCTAGGACTGAAAGGGACCATAGTTGTCACCCATCTTGTGGTCATGAGGTGTGGCTCCGAGTCGTTTTGCTAGCTTATTTTTTTTTGTTGTTGCTTATAATTGTGTTGAGTAACTTAGTCTCCCCATTTTTTGATTCCTCATCTGTCAAGTGGGAAAAACAGGAATTATTTCTTATGAGGATGAAATGAGTTAAAATGTGCTGAGAGCTTAGTTCTGTGACCAATGCATAGCAAGCCTTGGACAAATAAATGACTGTTCCAAATTGCCACCGAGGCACTGCTGCCCTGCCAGCTTCCTGCTCCACTGTAGTTCCTGCATTCTCCCTGGCCCTCCAGGAAGTTTCCCCCAGTGGCTGCTGGTGTCTTGGAGCCCTGTCCTTGCTGCTTGCTATGACATGTTGCCCCCAACCACTCTCCTTTCTCTTTACTGGGCAGCCAGGGTGACCTAGTTCTTGTATTTATGGCTCTCACTTCAGACCCTTGCTTTTGGTGTATTGTTCTCCCACTCACCCCCAGCTCTACAGGCTCCTGGTGTATTTCACAACCCTGCTCCTGACACCACAGCT